TGCAGCGAAGGACACAATGAGTAACTTGTTGTGCGTTTCGGTATCCACCACTTATTCTTCGTAAGTAACTGTGGATTTAAAACTATCAAAGTTGCTGGCTTGCTCATTACAACTGGCACTTCATGGATCAATTGAAAAAAATAAGTAACGAAACGAAGCAAAGAAATGCTATCCTGCGGGTGCCTTGGAAAAACTGGAGAAATTCGAGGCTATCGATGAAATTAGACCAATGGTTTTCATAAATTCAAACACGCCTGAGGCAGAAGAACTGGTAAAGAGGGAAATATCAAAAGATACAATGATTTATGAAGAAACCTTTATAAACTTGCTGGCGCATTTTTTCGACTAAGAGCAAACTGATTGAAAAGCTTAGGAAAACGACTACTTCGTCAAAATAAAGATGATGCTTTCAGCATTGAACTTTGTTTTCAGTTATACTTAAGGTTATTTAGGGTCAAAGTATTTTTCCTCCCAAAAGGATCACTACCTTGCACAGTGGTAAGAGGTGAGTGGGGGGGAGATTAGTCTCCTGCTAGGGCCACCCTTGCCAGGCAAGTCAACAAGTAGAGGCCAGGGCACAAGAGTGACAACTCAGTTCCGTAAAAAGACGTAAGACGTAAGGAAACAGCAACTGAAGGAACCAAGACTACCAGGTGTAATGGGCTTTGAGAATGACGGGATCAAGGCAACTAAAACCGAGCGGTCGATGGGATGGCGAAAGCAGACAAACGGGCATCAGTGGAAAACTTGGTAACGGAGGCGGAGCACGCGGCCAGCAGAGAAAAATGTTAAATGATAAAATTACAATTATAGTTAATCTATAATATCGTAAGGGTTTTCTGTATTGGTGTTAGAAGGAAAAGGAATGGAAATATTATATTATTCTAAGTCATTTAAAGTAAATTATAAAAAGGGCAGGTTGATTACTTCGTACGCCTTCTTGGTGGTCTTATCTTAAAGGTTGAGTCTAATCACGTTCTTCTTGTGAGTTTGGCCACGTTCACCTAGTGAGTTTAATCACGTTTTCTTCGTTGTGATCGTGAAGTTGACGTGGAACTCGTGATAGGCCGTGTTCTTAAATAAGTTAATTTGTTAGTCCAGGAAGAGTAAATCTCCCTGGTAATAGGTCGCGTTCGACACCTTCGTGTTCCCAGAGGTAATTTAAGAGTAAACAGGTGATGTCCCTCATGTTTTCGCAACAAGAAGCAATTTGGGGGCGGTACTTGTGAGCGCCCTTCTTCTTTAACTCTTGTGACCAAGATGTTGTTATGTAACGATCTTTAAAGGTGATTTGCTCTTAAAAATATACTTTCAGGTATAAATAATACTCTACACCAAGGTTATTTGTAATTTTTATATTGTCGATCTCGTTTCTGTTCTGACCGATCTCAACCGTAAAGATATGAAAATTAGGAAAGAAATTGATTTTGTAACTGCGTAGACAACCCTAAGTGCTTACTCAGTATGTGGGAACTATAATACGTAGTTAAGCGTGATTCGCTAGTTGAGATGGTACGATGACGACGCAAGAAGATTGACGGCTTAGAAATGTCATCCACAGTGACACCTTTATAAGCGGAGACTCTAGTTTTCCTTGATAGATTGAAGCTAGTCCTTATTGTAACAACTTGAGGAGAGAAGCAAATAAAGAAGGTTCAACCGGTCCACAAACGAGTGTTAGAGAAATTCACTCTAACAAAAACAGGGTATGTTGTATAAGATCACTAAGATGATTTGCGGCAAGAACTCTGAAACCAATGATGCCCCCATCATGGACAAATAAGTCGACTGCTTAGAATAGAAGCAGAGCAAGACGCCTGGTGAGCAGAGTATGTCAGTACGGTGCTGAACAGACCAGCGCGTGCAATAGAAGCTGACACTCCAGAGGCAGAGGCAGAACTCGACATAAACACTGAACCACCATCAAAGAAGAAACAGATAAAGTTATACGGTCTCTCAAGAAAAGAAAGACCCCTGGCCAAGATAACCTCGATACAGAACCGTTCAGGGTAGATCCAGTGGCTGGGGTATGGACACTTCAGTCCCCTCTTCACAGCTTTGTGGGTAGGAAAGAAAGTTTCAGATGACAGGTCAGAGGGAGCCATTCTAAAGATGCGAAAGAAAAGCACTCTGAGAGACTGCGACAACTGGCGGGTAATTACTCTCTTGTCAATTCCAAGCAAAAATCTTGACAATGATTGTCATCAAGCGGATATCAGATGCAGCGGAGAAAAATCTCAGGAAGGAATAAACAGGGTTCAGGAAAAGACTGGGATTGCTCCAACCAGATCTTCGCTCTACATAACATAATTTTGTGGACTTTTAAAAGTCATTTGATGAATTCAGGCAATCACATCAGTAGGAGAATACGAGAAGTCGAATCATTTTTTTTTTAAATCATTGTTTGAAAACAATTGTTGGATGAGGTTTTTGTGATATCCGGAATAATCAAGGTCGGCTTTGATTATTCTAGATATCACAAAGACCGTTTCTAATAATTGTTTTATTATACACTGAACGAAAAAAAGTTGGTCACGACAGTAAGTGGACTTTATTTCTAAACGTGTAAAAATATACAAATCAGCAAGCAACGCAATGCACGCGAACTTGACATGATTACCCTTAGAAATCATGAACTGCGGTCAAACATCACATTATTACCCGTGACCTTGAGTTTCGTTCATATGATTATTTTATAATCTGCAGCTAGGTGACACCCCAGGTTCTGATTTTTGAAAATTCACTGTATGCTTTCGGCCAATCAGAAAAGAGATAGTGAATTGAATGTATAATAAACTGCATAAGTGGAGAAAAATAGAGTGCCAATTGGTACATGAACGCCTTAAGTAATAGGTCAAAACTCAGAAGGTTAAAGTAATTACAAGCAAAAAACAATAACAAAAAGGTAAATATCAGTATTATAGAAGTTCGTGCGTTTCGGAAAATATATTTGGGGACTGACATTTATAAAATCAGATTCAATTGATGAGCTATTTACTTCTCTCTTTTGGTTTGTTTCTCGCTGCATTTTCTGATGCGCCCCGTATAAGTCGCTTAGAACCTCTACGTTAAAAGGTGATCATTTATTTTCATTCCTGCAATTGGGTCGCTACAGGCTAAATTTCATTCCTGTCCGTTCATGGCAATGAAGTGAAGGTCGGTTTCGTCACACTGGCTTCGGGAACATTGCATTGGAGATCCACTAATCGAATTCCAAGCGACATGCATGGGTGGATCTGAAAAGTTGCAGGTTGCTGCAACATACCGGTATCTCACATCACCACTTCTAGAACTCCGTGTTCTTACTTTCTACCTAAAATCCAAAAACCTAAAAACCAAGTCCACACATCGTCTTCGCCTGTAGTTGCCCTACCGAACACATTTGGCGCTCTTTGGAAAAAATTATGGCACCTGATGTCAAATCTTTACCGACCCTCTTCAACCTTACCTTTCTTGCAATTGGGTAAAGTTCGACTCCCCTTTTCTCCTAGCTAAGTGATTCATGGAAATTGGGAGGGTGCTCTTTTTCGCTGGCTATCATTACAGGGCTCTCATTGATCGCATCTACACTCAATCGTTCGAAAGGGTTCTTAAATCAGGTATTTGCCTGATCGACATTTTGGAGAAGGCAATAAGTGTGCTTCAAGTTATTTTTGCATATTTAACGTTGTTCTAAAGAACTACTAGGAAAAAGTTTTACTCCACTGCAAAGTGCCCGCCTTATCTATTGGTTATATTGTCTCAACATAACCAATAGGTTATGTTGAGACATAGGTTATCCGTTGTCTAATGGATATATAACACATAGGTTATCCGTTGTCTAATAGACTTACCTTGCATTTTAGCCCACGCCCTCGTTTAAGCTGGCTCGTTTCTAGATGTCTCCTGTGACGTAGGTTACGGTAATTTAATGTGAGATAAGGAAAGTGCTTTAATTAGGATATATGTAGTACGATGCTGCCCAGCTAGAAACACTTTTCGCTGCTTCTTTAAATCCTAACAGATGCGCCAAACATGACAGCATATTCGTGCAATGCAAAAAATCTATCATAAATATTATGTTACGGCACTCTGATTCCAACATTAAAGATCCAGAATATGTTTCTCTATAATTTCGGACATGGAAAAGAGTGACAAGTCCTGAATGTTAGTTGTGATGGAGCTGGGACCTTCTTCAGAGGATTAAAGAATTTCAACCAATCATCTATTGGATACATTACCTTTGGGGTCATCAGTGGTGGGTGATTCCTTCGATGATGTAGAAACTTAGCCTTTTGAGAGCATATTTTTACCTGCTGAAGCACAATTCCTACTTTCCTGGCTCCTTAGTCGATGGTATGATGAGGCTCTATGACTTTTTTTTTCGGAATGAAAGTCAAAAGCCCTGCTAAACTTTTTTAAACTTTGAAGGAAATTGTGGGCAAATCTTTTCATGGGACTGTTAATGAGCCTGATATAGCTCGACCCCAAATCGGTAAGATACACAGCACGATGATTGACTGACACAAATTTTAGCCGCAAATTTTTTTTTTTTTTAACAACTGACTTAATCTGACTGTAAACTGGCCACCATAAAGAGTTTCTAAAGCTGTCACTTTGAGCGTTAGGCCTTCATCAGGGCGAACAGGTGATCAAGGAACACTTTCCGACGTTTTGCAATCCCGGAAAATAACTTACTAGTTGCTGTGGTTAAAAAAAATTCATCCCATTCCTATGTTTTGAGTTGTTTCCATTCCCTGTCACGAATCCCCTGTTCCCACGACAAAGACAGGCCAATCCCGGTCCTTATTTTATCCTACAGGACCCACGATACATATCTGCATTCAGAGGATCTTTAGAGCAATATTTGCCATATCGAATGGTACCAGTCTCAACGTGCTTGTGGAGCAACTATGTTCGATAGTTTTAGGTCTGTCATATATTTTCTTCACCCCAAGAACTGACAGCAGATGACTCGTTCTAAGACCCTACCGACCAACATAAACGATAGGCACTGGGAAGGAAAATGGCCGACAAGATGTCGTCGACATGGAGAAGACTTTATGTCGATAAATTAAGGGCAAGGATTCGATTAGATTTCACTCTTGCAAGTGGACAATCATTTAGATGGAGGGAAACAGCGCCTGGGGAATGGACAAACGTGTTATCAAGCTACGTGTGGACCCTTAAGCAGGACGAGAGTGATATTTTGTATCGTGTCTACGAGTCAGTTGTTGTAAAGAACAAACGAATTTTAAAAGAAGTTCGTAAATGTCCAGAACACAGTGTTAGTTGTTACTCAACTGAAAAACTGCCTCAGTCCGATGTATACGAGTGCATTCTACGAGATTACTTTCAGCTTGGAGTCGAAACTGAATCGCTCTACGACGAGTGGAGAGCCAAGGATCCTCACTTTGTCAAAGTTTCAGAGAGTATGCAAGGCGTTCGAGTTTTACGACAAGACCCAATAGAAACTCTGTTTGCGTTTATATGCTCATCAAACAATAATATCCCACGGATTAGCGGAATGGTTGCAAAACTTTGTCATGATTATGGAGAGAATCTTGGAGAAATTGATGGTGTTTCATACTATAGTTTCCCTGACATAAAAGATTTGAATGGGCCAAGAGTTGAACAGCACTTGCGAAGTATTGGGTTTGGGTATCGAGCAAAATTTATAAGTCAATGTGCAAGCTACATTCTTGAACATTATGACAGTAAGTGGTTGGAGACCCTAAGAAGTGTGCCATATGAAGAGGCCCATGAAGGTGAGATCTTAGGTGTTAGACTTGTGTTCTGTAAAGCTGGAATCGACCATTTCTATGCATACCAGTCACTTTAAACCTTAATATCAGCTTGCTTATGTCTTTATTCATTCATGAAAAATCAGTTTGATCAACTGATTCGACTTAATATGTTACTTCTGGCTGGTTAGGTCCTTCAGATCATATGTGAGGGTAGTAGAGGGGGTCCTGATCCCGTTTCACACACATATACTTTAAACAGAATTTCACATGTCAGGGTAAACCTCAAATGTCTCCTCTTGTGTGCAAGGTTTCAGAGAAATTTTGAGGTTTTCTCTGAATGAAGTACAAAAATTCACAGTTTATGTATATTTTAGGAGCCAAATTATGGCTTATGCTAGTTTATAAATGGATGAATTGCTCTTACCTTTTGGTAAAATGCAGATATCACATATTAATTCATGACTCTTTGCCACCCTTATATGTGCTTGTGGACTTGGATTGCACAATCCACCTCAAAATGCTCAGCCTTATATACAGTGGAAGCTCACTCAACCTTTTAACTTCCAAAGTCTGACTTTTTCCCTCCAGCTGCTCCATATTTCCCTCTGGTTTGTTAAGGGAATGTTCTCTGAGTAATTATTTGCTTATTCTCATCACCTGTTTGATGTCTAATGTATTGATATAATTTGTAAGTAACTTGTCATCACTTCTGAAAGTGAAAGGGTTGTGAGTATCTCTTAGAGGCAGAAGGGTTAGTTCTGTGGGTACGTTACCAGTAAGGAAATGTTTAATATGTGTCCTTTGATGTGAAACGTGTGGCCACCATTTTGGATTGGAGTGCTATGTAATAGAGAGATATGTATTTTTGCCCATATTTACCAAACTCAAATATTGTGGCTGGCCAGATTAACATATTACATGATTAACATATTACACCAACTTGTGCTCTCCAAAAAGATGCTTGCATTCTAGACCTTTGGTGGTAGCTTTCCAGAAGCATTCTATGTGTTTGATAGATTACATAGAGAAGAACTAAAATCACTCCTGATCTAATTTAACAGGGTGAACTAAAACATTGTTGTTGGTACCCAGACGATTTTTATATATAAGTATTCCAATTTTCAACTTGTCAACTTCATCAACTGGTGCTGTTTTTGTTTTTGTTTTGTTTTGTTTTTTAATTGCAAAAACCAGTGCTTTGTAAGCTACCAGGTGTGGGAGCCAAGGTTGCGGATTGTGTTTGCCTAATGTCATTGGACAAACATGATGCTGTTCCAGTGGACACACATGTGTGGCAGATAACTGCAAAACACTACATGCCCCAACTTGCAAGGACCAAGTCTCTTACTGCCAAGGTTTATAAGCAAATTGGTAAGTAGACTAGAGTGTGAATTGTTAGGGGTAAGGAATTCATGAATTTTTGTATGTATTGACTATGCGGTGTGGCTGTATAGGAAAATATTTGACTCCAGAGGTCTCCTGATCCAAAACATATTTAAAAGTTTCTGCAATTGCAGATAATGATTCATGTTGAGCTTGTAAATCAGTTTATGCCACCTTTTTTCTTCAGGTGATCATTACAGGGACCTGTTTGGGAAGTATGCTGGATGGGCACAATCGGTAATGGTTTTTGCATCACTATTTCTCAAAATCATAAGCAACAATACTGAACAATGGTAGAAATCAAATCTATTCTTTAGGAAATCAGGGTACTTTTGTTAAAAATTAACACCATGCATCTATGATGCTCATAATCATGCAGTGCAAAACTCTGATATGTCACATAAAATCTTTTCACAACAATAGTTAACAATTAATTTGTAAATACCTACAACCACGCTGTGTCCTTCTTTTCTCTGTTGCAGGTTCTTTTTGTCGCTGATTTAAAGAGATTTCAAGATACTCAGACTACCAGTTTAACAAATTTAAACTCAAAATCTGCCAAGGTAAGGAATACACAATTTGCTCTACATAATGAATAGAGAATTTAGAAAAGACAACGATTGATTTTCCTGTATTAATTTAATTGAATGAATCTGTGTTGGTGAAAGCGTCGTTATGTTTGATAGAAACTTGAAATTCAAGTGTAAAGACTAAAGTATCTTATTTTTAATATTTGCCTTAGAGGTCTATGGAATCCGATATGCCGTCAACAAGCAGCTCCAAGCGTCCCGCCAAAAAGAAAAAGAAGAACCGGATATAGGCTAAAAACAAAGATTTATTTTCCACTCGTCACTCTCTTTCTGAGATAGTACTGAAATCTAGTCCACGCTAATCACGTTAAGGTTCTCAAGTTCTCCTACAACTAATAGAAACCGAAATAAGTAAAAATTTAGTTGGATATCACTACGTAAGAGATTATGAACTGTTCATAATCTCTTGCTACTTAGCCATTTAAAGATGGTGGCTTCATTTGTCTAGATATTTTGAAAATTAGCCATTTTATCACCTTTTGGAAATAGAATGCAACGTACACCATAAAAGATGTTGAACTACGTTCGTCACCCAATGAGCGGAGTCTTGAGACTGGAGAGCATTCATTTAAATAGGTTTCTTCACTTTCGTGCCGTAGAATATCGCCTTTATTGTATGACTTATTGGACGCCACACTCCAATAAAAGCTGCATACTCTTCCCCCTTTAAAAAAGTCTATGTATTTATTTTTTAAAAAAAATTATTTCTGCATAAAGCTTGCCTTCCCAGAAAAAAACTCAGAGGGGCCACTATTGAACCCCATCGTAAGTGCGTTCTCAGAGGGATATAAGCATCTGGTGATTCCCTAGTATTGCATTGTGCATCCTGTTCCGCAAACGCACCCAATCACGCATGTGCTTTTTCAGGGAAAGGAACGATCGGATTTCTTTTGAACAAGGACTGTCTTATCTTTTTTCCCTGTAAACCTTTTCCAAAAGAAAAATGTTAGCGCGAAGAAAGCCTTGAAGTGAAAGCATTCGTAGTCATAACCGTTCAACACAATTGTGTTATCAAGATCACGCACGCACCACTCGTCGTGACCTGTGACTCTACTGGGGAATTACAAGTTGACTTTTTTCGCCTTGGCAAATAAGACACACCGTTCTAAATCTTTCAGAGTCAGTACAAGGATTCCTGTTCTTGCTTAAGTTTGCGTGAACCGATGCAGTTGATACACCCTTCCAGAATGTGAGCTATTCGTGTAATGCATATGTTCCTAAACGGGTTGAGATTATTTCACATTTCAAATCACAGTCATGCATGCGATGAAGTATGGGGTTGAGTTTAAAGAAAACAAGTCTACTTGGACCACAGTCTATGGATGTTTTTGCTTAACTTCATTTGAATTACTCTGTTGACAATCAGGTAAAATAACACTGTACGTATTCTTGTTATGGGAAGGGAAAGTAAGCCACTATTAGGCAGGTGATTCAAACAGGAACAAGAATAACTTACTAGGAAAGTTGCCTAATTCAGGAGAATAAAATTCAATTCTTGGCCATTTAGGTCTGTCAATTATAGTTTTACAGCAAAACCAGATTATCATCAGCATTCATTGTTATTTTTCACTACAGTCGGTTACTCTATTTATACAACAAAGATAAAAACTTCTTTTATAAGGTTATTCAGTATTAAAAGTATGGCTCAATAAGCGTTCTGCACAGCTGTTAACATGCCATGATTAAAGCACTTATCATTCATTGGTCAGACCAGCCCATAATTGTCTGTCCTGAAAGATTTGCAATGGGCTACTTACAACTAAACAAAAGTTCTGCGACGTACATCTCATTAAATTTTAAAGATGGATTGTCAACACGTAATCAGGATACGTTTATAATGATTATAAACTTATCCTGATTAGGCGTTCACCCTCATTTAAAATAAATGACAAATACATCACAGAGCTTTTGTTTAGCTGCAACTAGTTTGTCTTTGATTACTGCAGTACGTAATAATTTCCAAACTTAAACGTTGATAACTTAAAAGTTTTTGCAAAGGGGACCCAACATCTTCTTTTTGAAGGTAAGAACATGTTTCAGTTATACCAAGCGGATTCACTTACTACGGTGTCAAACAAACAACGATATTTAGAATACTGATCATCGTGTTCTAAGAATTCTGAAAACATTAGCTGATTACAGCGGAACATGTGTTGCTTACTCAAGTAACACCTGTTCATGTCTCTGACCTACCTCTTCTAAATAATTGCAATGATCGTCTAAAAATGCGACCTGTTTGTGGAAAGTCTGAACTACGACCTATTCATACAGCAACCAAGACATATTTATCATTAAAACAAACTCAATCCAAACCAACGCAGGCCACGGTGAAAGTCAGAATATTGTTCCATTTTTCTGTTTTGAATTTAGCGTAAATTTTATTCATATTTCTTTTTCATGACTACCATTAAATGTATTTAGCGTTAGCGTTAGCCCACAAGGTTTCCTTTCGCTTTCGTTTCATGAGGGTGTGCAAAGTTTTCAAAGTAATCTGTGTTTTCAAGTGCATTTTCAGAGTTATTAATTGCAGAGGAACCACACGAAAAATGAATCTGGTTATGTAAGTAGCAAATCGTACAAATGCTTTAAGTAGTGCCTACTAGACACAGTCTAACTGATGATCTGATTGACTGGTACGCAAGGGATTCCTTTTCTACGTGACAGAAACAGATAATTGTAAAACACGTCCGTGTTCGTCAGGGATATGTGGGAAATGCCAACTAGCGAAACACCGAACGCAATTAATTAAAAACTCAGTGAAAGACCACTTCAGCCGAACACTTCCGAAAGTTGAAAACAATTTTCTCGCGGCTGGTCTCGACCCAGTAAGTTTGAAAAGGACAGACTATCGTGCAAGGGAGACTCTACTGCACAAACAAAACAAAGTGGAATAAATGCCAGGCTGGCTGTTTAATCAATTTCCATCATGTTTTGGATATATCAGCTGATATTTTCCTCGGAACCCTGACCTTCGGTGTTGGGGTATTTTGATAATTATCTTAGCGCTAAAGAACAGTTCCATGACATCCATAACACACTAAAAGCCTAAAACGTTCGAAATTGTTCATTGGTCTAGACATAGCAGTCAGTATATGTGCATATGCCCTTGTATACACCAGTGAAGCCCATATAATTTCACGCAAGAAACAATGAAATAAAATACTCGGAAAATTGCCCACAGGCCCCCATGAAAGCTTCCACTAAACCAACCCCCCCTCAACTACCACCACACATACCCCTGCGGCGGATAGGGTTTATGTTTACTGGTTCTGGTCACAGACATTATTATAACCAATTAGGAACTTAAATGTAGCCTTTAAAATTGTCCCCATTTTATCAGTAGAGTCATGGAGTGTGGTAGGAACGATAATGGCACACACAACAGAAGTGAACTAAACTCGGATGATGATATTAACGGACTGCACAACGAAATCACCACCAAAGATGTTGTGCTAAGGCGACCCTTGCACACATACCCGGCAACTTCAAGTGTTCGTAAGACAGCCTATAAGCACGGTCGCAGCGCGCACGTCCCGCGTCCAGGAGGCTTTAGAGTCAGACATGGATTCCTGGTAAGCCAGACAAGATCATAATTTCAGAAAACTATGTCGTCGTGAAAAACATTTCAAAACTATCTATTCTTAAAAATGGACACATGAGCCTATAAACTATCCTACACCAGCTGTTTGTCACGGAAAACAGTGGACTGCTCTGTGATTATTTGGACAGAGCGATCCGATTCTTTTCATCTTTTCAAAGACTCATGCTTTGCCTTTTTTCAGAAGCGTTGCTCTCGGAAAAAAGCTTTAGCTCTCCATGAAGGATCTGTAATGTGATGTTTTCATTAGAATCTTTTGTAAAACATCGACCACATAATGAGTTCCCCCCATCCCAAAGATAGGTCCGCAATGGGCACACGCGTGAACGCAAAATTGCATGCATGGAGTAAATCCCACATTATTTCGCAGGTTTCATTTTCTAGTTGGATTACATTAGCATTTTCTAGTTGGGAGGAGTGGATGTCAGACATCCGTGTAAGATGTTAATCTCTTGCATTTGTTATATTACCACTCTTTATTCATTAGAAGACATTTCATCTGGAGAATTAAAATTTAGGGCCATGTATTGTTTGATCGCGTAGTCTGAATAGTCCCAAGAAGAGTTGTTTTCGGTAACGGGAACAATCTGATTGGAAGTAATCATGAGAGGCGACTTTGATAATTACTTCTGCTGATGAGGGTCATCAGACTAAACGATCAAATGTTACCACCGACAAACAAATATTCGAGATGCTGGCAAGGTGTGGGTATTCCCACACAAGAATAATTATCTCTTACATGTCCGGTATGCCCATGTTTTTCTTTTGTTGTGGTAATGTCTTTGACTGGTACAAACTAAAAACTGACAGTCTTTCTGTACTTGAAGATCGTCCAAAGTTAATGGGTGCTAATCATAAACTGGGCGTATTACTTGCGAGGAATTGTATAATGGATACATGGTTGTGTTTAAACCTGTCAAACATCTATTTGGTCAAGCTCTAATAATTTCCACTGCTTTGAGGGAGGCGGCTGCCAGGGGAGGGGTAGTTTGGGTCCAATTGCTACTCCTCCGGAAGGTTTCCATGGAAACAGCAGATCGCTCATGAACGTACAAAAGACAAACTCATTCCGACGGCCGGCTGGCCAGTGAATAAGTTTTTCAACCAATTTCTGTTTCACGACAAATATCCAAAGTTTAAAAAGGATGGCAAAATCCAAAGGAAAGGTTGAGCTTCAGGTTAGTGTAGTGAGAATTGATAGTAAGTCAAATACATGAAGAGTTTTACGAACACCAACGGCAAAGTTTGTTCAATTATTTTCTGAACTGAAGTCTTTCATCATGCTTCACTTGAGCTTATACTGCAATGAAAGACGTGAAATTTGAGCATATTTTAGAAGTTTTTTACCGGTTTTCTGAAAAACTTAGTCCACTTAACAAGGTGAATATAATATACTCTTGTCAGTGTATCAATATTGGGACTATCACTTTTTGAATACAAGATCAGAGCACTGAGGTGAGAAGTGAAATATAAACATCATAAAAAATCTCAACATGTCCACATGTCACCACTAAGGGAATAGCGCAAACAAAATATTTATCCCTCTATTTGCAGTCAACAGTTTGTCGTCTCCATTTTGAGCTCTTTGGCTTAGGCCAATTCATTCAATTTGCAGTCGTTAGAGCTCAGTATCGATACTTGAGAAAACTTCAACACAGTAATCGGAACATTGATCTCATTATATAAAGTGTAACCTTAACAAATTTATCTTTCTATTCAGTATAGTTGTAGAATGCCATTCCTATCTCGTCAAGGAAACCAGGAAAATTAAGTTTTAGATCGTTAAGAAAATATCAAGTCCTGCATTTAAGCAACAATCGAGTTTGCAAACACTGATTTACCAGTTCCAAATTCAAATTCAAAGTTAACTCAACTGCGTTTGAAATATTTATAACCTATTTTTCCTGCCGTGAAGTGATAAATAGTATTATAAACATTAACCATATGGGGTTAGATATGAATAAAATTAGTAATGTATCTTAGAGACCATTTTGTTTGAATTCAATATGGCGTACATTAAGAAGAATCCGGACGCTCTTAAACCTTTACAGGCAAGGCTTTAGACTCTTAATGATGTAAATTGTGCCTAACATGTCGTATTTGTTCGCGGTAGCGTCGCTAGAGAAACTGAACCACTATTGTTGTACCTATTTTATTCGTCGCTTCTTTGCATCAAATCATAACAACCTCGAGCGCCAAGCTGATTCGTTGCTGTCTACGAGTTGTTATTTCGTTCTGTTGATTGCTCCCGGTTTTTTCTATGATTTAGTTCCACTGTGTGACTCTGAACTCAGCACTCTAAAATTATCATTGCAATACTAACATTTTCTCTTGGGAATAGCTAAAGTTCTGGCTATCATTAAAAAAAATACTTCATGTAAACAGATCAAAGGCCCGAAGACTCTTAGCTTATAATGGCTTACTTTAACTGCAAAGACGTTTGAATTGCGCTTTTGACATACCTCGCTGTTTCCTTGCTTTTATATCTTTGCGTTTTTTAATTTAAGCGAAAAGAAAACATCTTTTGTTTCTCTCAGAGATCATGATCATATGTTTAACAGAGCTAAGCTTTTAATTAACTTGGATAGCTGGATGCTTTTGAGGCAATTACCTGCCCCCTACCCCCTTACATCGGCTGTGTGATTTTTTTTTACAAAAAAGGATGTTTCAGCTGAACTCTTGAGGTCTGACAGTGGCACAAGGCTGCTCATGATGTAAACACTGCACAAGTATTAGCCTTGATGTTGCAATTCCAGACTAAATTCCTGCCCATGAACTGAGGCCAAAATACAGTTTTATAATCTGTTAATATTTTAGTCAAAACCATGACAAAGTTCTTGAACATGATTGGTTATCACCAGCCCCAATTTGAGCACTAATAGAACACTGTGCACTTCATGCTTGTAATTGGATAGTGTAATAGGACAGTTAAAGGGACAGTTAACATGTCATGCCTGTGTAGGTGGATAGAACACATCATGTGGGCACACTGTTGTCTCACATTTTGCCAAGTTAACTGTTTTTTTTTTATGGAAACCTCTAATGGATGTCTAGTTTCTCTCTCAAATGTTGTCATAGTTTTTATTAATTGGTAACAGGACTTTGTGCTGTCCAATTCTGTCTGTAATCATACTTATCAGACTCCCGCTTCGCTGTCTTCCGATTTTTTTCATCCATTGTATGATTACAGACCGATATGGACTCCACTCAGACCTATTACCATTATAAATATATCATACATGTATGTGTATGTAGATATTTGTAGGGGATTGTGTGATCAGTACAGTGCAGCTGGTTAATGGTCTTAAGTTTACAACCAAGAATTTAAACCTTCATAACTGTGGTTCTGGCTGAGAGATTTCAGAAATCAGTTGGCTAAATAACAAGTGCTAGCTAAACAGTGGGTCATTGGGTACAGCTAAGATCTCACTATGTTTAAGTGTATTATATATCGATTTCACAAAGAAAGTCAAGTCTTGCAAGAATAATAGCACACCTTTTTAGCCACTATAGAATTATTAATTATTTATAATTTGAGGATCAACAGAAAATTAAGTCTCACAAACTAAGTACTCCATAATTACCATATTGTTTATACAATTTTGCATTCAAACTACAGCCATCTTGATAATAATTTTGAACACAGCTGTAGTAAATTTTAATGAGCTGCCAAGAGAGATTACATTAAATGGAGTTTGTCTTTCTTACTTAAAGGTTGAAATTAAAACCCAGGAGCAATGGGATGAACTTTTATCAAAGGAAGGCTTGATAGGTACAGTGTAACTTGGTGCAAATATTTCATGATCTAAATTTGTCCTTGGTTTTGGTCTTTTTGAACCAGTTTGATATGAATTAAATGTGTCTTGGACTGTCACATAGTGAACAACAAAGAAAATGAATGAATAACTGAAATCAACAAATATCATGAAACCAGTGTAAACTGTAAAATTAAAGGAAGGGAAATTTTGCATATCAATTTGCTAAATAGTTTTAATGTTAAAAGGCCGTAAAAAATGTAAAGCTTATCAAAATGATTTATTGGATGTATTCATATTTTATATAATTTTCACAGTGGTAGATTCCTATTCAGCTTGGTGTGGTCCATGTAAAGCTATTGTTAGTTCCTTCAAGAGACTTAAGAATGAACTGGGAGATGACCTGCTTGTGTTTGCAACTGTAAGTTTTCAATATTATGACTATTATCATTTTTGCTATTATCATCATTTTCTTATCGTGTAATTGTTAGTTTTATCACTTATTATTATTATTTTTATTAGGAATGTTGACACCTGAAAAAGCTGAAATAAATGCTGAAAAAATCTAGAAAATCTGGAATATGCTGAAAAAAGCTGGAAATTTATACATTATCTTAATCACCAATTCTTTAAGGAGCATGAAAGAATTTTCTAGAAAATTATAGAAATCCAAATTTTGTAATAAGCTGGAAAAAGCCTGATTTTATCCTAGTTGGTGATTTCTGGAATAAGCTGGCAAATTCTGGCAGATTCTACCCTAATTAGCATGTTTCATTAACATTCTAGAATATTCTAGAATTTTCTAGAAAAGAAAACTGGTAAATTCTAGAAATTTCTAGAAGTATTTTCTGTCATATTTCTAGAAATTTTCCAGAAATAACCAGAATATTCCAGTTTTATTTTGCAAGGGTAATCTTTTGAACACAGGTTGACTGCCTCATCCATCATGTTTCTCAAAGAGCATGTTGAGTAAAATTTTGCTCTTAGTTTCTTCTTTCCTCATGATGTGTTTTAAGATTGAGGCACAGCAATGCTAAAATGAAAGTTACAGAATTCGAAGTTACATCTCCCTCCTTTCTGTGTATCTATAAAACAGTATACAAATTTAAAACAACGATGCAAAAACAACATGGTAGAGATCTGGATGATTGACAATATTTGCACTGCATGGGCATATCCAACAGGAAGGTGTGTGAAGCTTAAATGGAATGTAAAGGGATTGAGTGTGATGGGGAGGTTGATTTCCAAACCAAAAAACCCTTTTTTAGTTGGGGAGTGCCTTTTTTTAATCAAACAATGCAGGAAATCAATAATCTTAGGATGTCAAGGATGTTAGGTGGTGTAAGCAAAATAAACTTGAAATTGTGTTTTTATATCATGATTATAACTATATTTAATATATCAATTTAATATGTAAACTTTTTGTTATCTTTTATATCCTAGCTAATGATATAATTTATGGTGATTTTTTGTTATTGACTACTTTTGTGTTACTGTAATAATTGCTTTTAAAAGGCTGAAACAGATTCCATCAATTCTTTGGAAGCTTACAGAATGAAAAGTCAACCAACATTCCTGTTCTATGCTGTAAGTAAAGTAATTGAACTATGTAATTTCCAACCACTACACATTGCACATTAACTGAATTTTTGGGAGGATTTTTTTACTTTGTTCAAAAGTACTGCTATTTTTGTCTGTATCCAAATCATGAATAGTAGAACATTGCTCTGAAGATTTTTTTCTCAGTTATGAAATAAAATGTTTCTTGAAACTTATGGAGTATTTTACAAGCTAAACAACTGACTCTATTTATTATACTCAGAGAGGATACACTTAATTTCACACAATGTTTTTATTCTTCTTGAGGGTGGTATTTATACTGATCAATATATACATGCATGTATTATGTTCAAAGCACAAGTAGTACAGCACAGGGGGGAAATCTTTGTTCTTGGTAATTTAACATAAGGATAGTGAACTTTAGTGGACTGTAAATGTTCACAGACCATATGGTATCAAATTTGTGGTCTTTTAGGGTGGCCTTCTGGTAAATGTTGTTAGAGGATGTAATTGCCCTCTCTTGATTAAGACGATTCGAGGTGAACTTGAACAAGAACACAAAGTTATTGATGGAAAGAGTGAAAGAGTTCCAGTAAGTATTAGATGTTTCTCACAAAGTTAGGAATGGTCAGCTATCATATGGCATTAAGATGCCTTTTCCCAAGTTTCCACAGTCATTTCAAAATTTGTTTCTTTCATGATATACATGTACATGTATTAAGTACAATGTAACTGCAGCTGCTGTTACATATAACATGTAACAGCATGTAACATGTAACTACAGCTGCTGCATCATGCATTGACACCATTTCTTGGTGCAGTCAACTCCTAGTCAGCACACTATAATTTTGATCATGAACCTCTGGCTAAAAATGGATATCTCAATCCAAAATCAATTTCTCCTGGATTTCCACTAGGTATGCATTAAATGTATTTTCATCCTGTTATGTTTTACATGAAATCTTACAAACTAATACCTGTTACTAACTCAAAGTAACTTAAATTCCCTTCTTAACTTGTTCTTCATAATCTTAATCTTAACTTGAACTATGTTCATTAAAGTAGGTATTATGTAATGTAAAACAAACAGATAAATTTAAATGAGATGGTAAGTTGTAGAAATTGAATTCAGTGATCTAGAGTAATCCTGTAAAGGATTGTTGTGAGTACAATTGTAGTGCTGACCAAAATTTTGATAACCTCAGCCAAAGTCATCAACCAAGTCACCTCAGTCTAAAAATGTCAAACATCATTCAATACTAACAACAGTTTTTACCACTAGGATTGCTCTCACCTTGATGATCAATTACACAATGAAATGCTACTCCAAGGTTTTTTCAAACCATTAATTGTTTTATGTTAAAGTTTGTTGATCAAGAAGCCTTCAAAGAAACAGTTTTTGAGGAGAAAAAAGATGAAGAAAAGGAGATTGAGGATGAGGAAGAGGAAATAGGTGAGCTTCTGTAAGGATGAGATTGTTGGGATTTGGCATTGAATAGACGGTTTCAAAGTTTCAGATTGCAAACTATGTTATTCAAATTTTATTTACACTTGAAATAGGCTGGAGTGCACAATAATGGGCTTTTTTCCATTAAATTAAAGCAAGGACTCAGAAATATGTGTAAATGTGTATTCATGGTAGTTTTACTCTCACAGCTTTAATCAAATGAATACAATATCAACAGACTCCAACCTGTTTTATTCAGGAAAGAGGAGAGAATATTATGATCTTTTCCATTTTTAAGAACAGAGCAGTTGACCAATAAATTTGATTACTACTGGGCATATTAGTCACTGATTTAAGAGAAGTAGGACAATCCAAAATATCAAGTACTGTGCATTTAATTGCAGCACACCTGCCAGGATCATTGCTTGGTTTGATTTTCATCCACAGCTCAAATTAAACTTATTTCATGTAGAATTGTGACCACATTTCTCTACGGGATTGAAGAACAGTGCAAAATTTGTGTGGCTTCCAATGTGTGTCTTTGTAATATATATATTTACTTACACTTAATTTCATCTACATGGAAACTAATTAAAAACTGTTTGACTTGTTAAAGCTGAGAGGATGACTAGAAGTATGAGCCTAAAGGTAGAGACGACAGTACTAAAAAAAGGTAGCCAGTGAGATAGTGTAACTAATAAGATAGTTTGTTTTAAAAGGACCAGGAAAACAGTCTTATATGTACACTGGTAACCTGTTATTTCTTATTGTAGCTTAAATCAGGTTGCTGATAATCAGTCAGGTTTGTTAGTGTAGTTTTAGTTTTGAGAGAATGTTTCTGATGGAGTGCACTATAAAATAGATTTCAACTTTCTTGGCATAAAGATTGATACAAAAATGTAATGCATGCAGTATATTTCAAAATAGCTACTTGACTGCCAATTACGCTTTACAACAATTGAAATTACAGGTGTTTCAGAGGGTCTGCACTCACTCTAACTCTTTTCACTTTGTTTATTCCTGTAGTGGAAATTCCCAAACAAGTTACTTTTGCCATCATTAAACCTGATGCTGTTAAAGCTGGACTTGTTGATGAGATTATTCAGAAGGTAATTATTACACCATGTTTTGCTAGTAAATATTTTTTTGTGTGTGATGTAAATGCTAATACTAAGTATTTTCCCATGGCCTCTCTGAACTACTACCCCTTTATAGTCTGTTCTCTGACCAACTGATGACCCCATCTTTGTCACTTATGGTAATACAGTTAACTGTACAACTTGCATGAATTTGAATTGACAGGTTGAAGAGTCTGGTATGGAGGTTCTCAAGAAAGAAGAAAAAACTTTGTCAAAGGATGAGGCTGCAGAATTTTATAAGCAACATGAAGGATCTGAACACTTTGATCAACTGGTTGAATTTATGACTAGGTATTGTGAACACAAAAGCTCAGTTCAGATATTTTTTAAGTTCAACAGCAGCAGTCAAAGGTTTAAAATGAAGTTGATCTTTTTTTTTTCTTAACAAGGCAAAAATTTAGTGTATTCAGTGGCACACAAAACATCTAGACAGGTTGAGAGGGATTCAATTTTTCCTCAACTCTCAAATCACTTTTAATTTTTGCTATTAGCACCCGGCCTGTCTGTTTGTGAGGAATTAACACCCCCATAATTTGTCATATGTTTTCCTTTAATTGTTTTTTAGTGGCCCATGTATGACTCTATTGTTAAGCAAAGGTGGTGACTCTGATATTGGTGATGGTACAATTGAATATTTCCGTGATCTTATCGGTCCAAAAGATGTGAACATTGCTAAGGAGGAGGCACCAACAAGGTAACATTATTTATAAAGGGTAGCAAAAGGGGGGTGGGGGGGAAAGGAGGGTCCTGATCCTGTTTCTCAAAATCTTGCTTTTGTGTATCCAGGGTTTTAAAGATTGAAATATTGACGTTTTCATGAAATGCAAGAAAAATTCATGGCTCACATATGTTTCAGGAGGAGAATCACACCTCAAGCTGGTTCATAAATTCATGAGTTATGCACACCTTTCTGTAAATTCTAGCATCACATATTAGTTTTGGCCTTAATCACATGTCATGTATAAACCCTATGCCACCTTTACTACATTAATTAATATTTTTATGTACTACTTAATTTGTGTCAGTGACAATAATTGTCACTGACAATGGATAGCCACCACTCTACTGATAAAATAATAATTAGCAATTCAGAATCAAAAGACTTTAATTTATTTCAATGATTGGCCACTTGCAAGCTGTGAGAGCAATATGACATGCAATCAACCATTTGCATTCATTTGGTAACCATAATTAAATATGGGTTATGAAGACCTCCTGAGGTACTTGCAAAATGATACAAAGTTTTTGTTGGTCATGAAATATGTAACATCTAGCCTGACATTCAGTTAATTCTTTCTGCAGCCTGCGAGCTCTCTATGGTACAGATACTGTGATGAATGCAGTACATGGCTGTGATTCTGCTGAAAGTGCAGCCAGGTGAGCTTATTTACCCACACAACTCTACAGGTGTATTCATTTTGATATTAATTAACATCTAGTTGCTTAATTATTAAAAAATAAGTCAATATTTTCAGTTATCAGCAGTGTGAATCAAGCACTAACAGAACAGGATCAGACATGATATGAAAAATGCTAGCTTATATCACTTGATGTACGGTTTATTCAAAAACCTCACTCAAAAATGCATTGACTATTGGTATTTGTTAATACATATAATCAACAGAATAGTGGTGTCATGTAAAACAGAACAACAAAGCAAAATTACTGTATCCTTTTATCTAACAGTTGGACCTCTAGGTCATGACAAACCTGGAGAATAGTATATGAGATTTTGACATAAGTAACATGTAGCTGGGTGGATATCAGTTGTTTTTTTCAAAACAAACCTATGTCAGGGCTGCCAGGTAAATTAACTCAAATTTTCCTTCATCTGATAATAATTAGAGTGACAGGACTTTTGTTGTTACTGGGAGCAGATCAAAGTTTTTTTATTATATTTGAAAAGTCAAAGTTTACTAAACTTTAAAACACATGCTACAGAAAATTATGTTTCATTGAAATTTCATCTAGCTCCTTAATTTCAGGGAGCTTGCATTTTTCTATCCCGATTTTGTGGCTCCTACTGTTACACAAAAGAGAAAGAAGAAGAGGTTACAAAGGACTCTTGCTCTTATCAGGCCTGATGCTCTTCGCACCCGTAGAGGTAAAGTATCAAGAACTTACCATGGTTTCAAATTGGTGTCAGCTTTTAATCTCTTTCTTTTGTCAATTTCTCAAGTTAAAGATATACTTAAAATTCATTTCTGCATTCAAAGAAATTAAGTTTAACTCCATACAATGAATCTTTTCCTCCCCAATTTTCTTTGTGTAAAATTTTACCATGAATGTTAGCATAATATTGCTCATATAGCAATCTGGCGGCCCATTTGTGACCTGATAAACCTCATGCCCTCCTCCTGACTCAAATAATGAAGTCAATAAGAGCATCAGCTGTGAACTCCATATTGTGATCTTTGCCATTTCATGCATATGCTGCCATGCTTCTGAGTTGTGTTCAAAGTAAAGGTTACTCCAGAATCTCAAGACATTATTAAGTTTTAAATTAGCATTGCAGCAATGGCAACAAGAAAAGGTTTCATGATGGTTTCTGGAGCACATCTCTTGTGGAGCAAATTTTTTTTCTGTATGCCCTACAGTAAGATGTTACTCACTTTCTATTAAGTTTATCAACAAAGTAGAAAAAGAGACCAAACTCATCATCATGTTCATTTGTCCATAGCTTAATTACCAGAAGCTACTGGTTTGTTAAGATTATTAATGGCTAGCCTAATTATTCTCAGTTGAGAAGAGTGGTTTGAAGACCAATTGAAGGTTAGATGAATTTTTTAATGTGCTGTTGAAAAGTAAAGAAATGATGAATTTATTTCAGATTCCATCATTAGAAAGATTGAAGAGTCAGGATTTACTATAGCCATGTCAAAGGAAATGGCACTGTCAAGAGATCAAGCAGAAGCCTTTTATGCAGACCATAAGGATTCTGAATTCTTTGAGTCTCTTGTTGATAACATGACCAGGTGTGTTACTCTTAGTAAAAGCCTTAATCATAAATGCATTAAGTAAAGTAAGTAAGTAAATTTATTTCAACTTGGGTTAATGAGGCTGATCAGGCCCCTAGCAGTATATGCTAATATGCCAAGAAAAGTAAAATAAACTGATGAATAATTGGAAAATGACTAATAACTAACTTTCTAACTACTTTAAGTTAGAAAACAATCTTAACTATTAAAAACTATAACAGTGAGAAAATCTTAATAGACTGTGCTTTGCAGATGTAGCTCTCTCACAGCATTCCTAAATTCCTTAAGAATTGTCAATGAGCGTAGTTCATCTGGTAAGGAATTCCTCACTGGCACTAATAAAAGATGTAGATTTTAAGCTGAAGGTTGTAGTTTTCTTATGTGGGATGACAGGCTTGTTGGTGCCTCTTAAGTTTTTCACATTATTTCATACAACAAACAAGTCACATTTATTCCAGTAACATGCCATTTACAGCTGTAAAAATCATTATAGCAATGTCCTGTAGTCAACAATTGGACAAAGTCAAACCATAGTCATCATTACCATAAAGAGGTACCCGTTTGTTGTAGACACACCTTGGAGCTCTCACATTAAGCCTTTCAGGTTCTTATTATCAGATTCACTATAGTTGAGCCAAGTAGCAGAACAGTAATTGAAGTAAGACATTATGTACAAGTTGTAGGGGCACATTTTCAAGAAAATTGATAGCATGTTCTTTAGCCTGCTCAAAACATCCAACTGCTTTCCAATTTTCTGAGTAATCATGGCAATGTGTTTGCTAAAATTTAGCAAGTTATTAATAGTTACTGTTACACCTAAAAGATCTAAATAGTCCACAATTGGAACCTGCACATCATTAATACTTAAGGAAAGATCACAAGGATAGTATTTTGGAAGAATAATACATTTACATTTCTTGGGATTGAGCACTAGCTTATTATCATCAACAGCAAGATCACCATTGATTGCAGACTTTACCACCACAAGATCACAATCACTAAAAAAAATTTGGTTATCATCTGCATACTTGAAGAAGGAGGGTTCAGAACTCATCTTGCCAGTAAATTATTTCAGGAGAACACAAAGCCTGCCATTACATTTCTACAGATCTGCTATGATCTTTGACATTGTTTTAAAGGCTTATTTAGGAAGTCTGTATGAGCACTTTGAGCAAGCTTAACGTTTGGTTTCTACAGCAGATGTTTTCTGTGACATAGCAATTAAAACATTGCTATGTGCCTTTATAGCTTTTCATAACCTTCTCATGTCATTCATATATACATGTGCTTTGTATCTGATTTAACTATCAGTGTGCTTAATATGGTATGTTTTATCAATCATGAACTGCATTAAGTCCAATTTCTCTCTGGAAGTAGGAAAAGTTTCTTACAGTCATTTCTTCAATTCTTGGTATTCTGAATAAAGAGTGTTAAAATAATTATTGAACTTAGAGGGAAGCGAAATATTTTTCTGATTTGTGGAGCTCTAAGGATTAAATGCTTATAATTAGGTATCAGTTTGTAAAAAAGTAAGGCCTGTTAGGTTATTAAATATGAACACCAGATTTTTTTCTTTTGAAGTAAGCAGCTCTTACCATTTTTTCTTAAATTTTGAATTCTGAACATGATCATAATTGTTTAGTATACTGACCAAAAACATTGATAAGAACTGTCTCTTGTCAGTAAATTTTTTTTATTAATTATTGTTTTTTGCCATCTGGTTTGCAGTGGTCCAATGATGGCCTTATGCCTTGCAAGGGAGGATGCTGTGGAAGGCTGGAGAGAAATGTTGGGACCAAAAGAGATATCTGTAGCTGCTGAAAATGCTCCAGACAGGTTTGTGTACAACATGACTCTACATTGGTAACAGCTTATTGTTGAATCAAATCATGAAGTTATGGCTGGTAAGGATAATATATTTTAATTATTAATTATAAATAGAAAAATTCAAGTATGTAGCTTATGAAACAAAATTGGAATGTAATTACTTCCAGTACCTTTGTGTAGGGCTAAGAAGATAAAATGAAACTTAGCTGTACATGTACCTGTTTGTTTTTTGTTGTACATGTGCAGTACCTGCTTTTCCTAATTATCAAAATTTTGTTTAAAAGTTGTTGCATGTCATATTTGGGTTGGATCTTGGTGCAAGTAACCATAACCACTTTTACATAATGTTTGTTAATATTGTATTGTTTTTTACTTCTTGTAACCAGTTGTTACACATGAGAGTTAAAAATTGATTTAAATTTTCTCTATGCATGTATGTCTTCATTTAGTTGGATGTTAACTGAAGTTAATGTTAAATGGAATTTTACAGCTTAAGACATCAGTTCCATGTAGAGGACAGTCCTGTCAACCCTTTGCATGGCTCTGACTCTCTGGTGGCTGCTGAGAAAGAAATCCAACAACTCTTCCCTGTTCAATCCACTGTGGCAGTCATTAAACCTGAACTGGAACCTGACAAGCGAGGTATGTCTAGTTAACAATGCAAATGAGTAACGAGTAAAAGTCACTGTTAGAGTCAAGTGAAGATTTGGTAATCAGTCAAATGTGTTAGTGTAGCTTTTGAAACTGACTCATCTGTATTACAACAAAACACATACTACATTTCCCTTTAATAACCAGTCTTATCTCATCTCTCGAAACTTTGCACTGGACTTATGAGAAGAGTTAACTTTCCCTTGAAAGTTTGCAACTCATCAATGTCCGCAGTGAAATACCATTCAAAATTTTGGTGCCTTGAAAGGTTGCAGAAATTTCACGGAAATTTTGTTGGAGCTAAATTTCCTGGAAAAGCCAGGAAATTCATCAAAATTTGTTTGCATTACTTTGATTTGCACAATACTGTACACTCTCAATTGATGTTATCAAGATGGATGTTACTTGAAATTAGTCAGTTTCCTTTTGTAATCTGTTTGGTAGTCAGTTTGTGTACCATTACTTGGTTAAATCTGATGAGAAGAGTAAGTTTTTAGGAATTAGTAAACCAGTTTAAAGCAATTTGGTGTGGAAGGAATTCATGATCTATGGTTTTGTTTGAATGTCAAGTTTACTTCCCATCATGGTTTTGGGATTGTGCTATTCATGTTGATTGCCATTGTACATATGTAATATGATGGATAGATCTCTAAATTCCAGGAGCAGCTGCACACACATGTTGGGTAGAGAGAGTTGAAAAAATTTTTTTATTCCCAAGTCTGTTTTTCATTACCAGTTGTTGTAGCTCCTCAACATGAATTAAAATACAATTATTTTCATTACATAGAGGAGATCATCCAGCACATCAAAGAAGCAGGCTTCAAGATTCAGATTCAAAAAGAGGTGACTTTAACTAAGGATTTAGCATCACAGTTCTATCATGAGCATGAAGGAAAAGAATTCTTTGATGGTCTTACAGATCATATGGCCAGGTATGTGTTGTTGTAGTTAGGAAATTAAGCTATAATCAATATTTTACTGACCGGTACTTCTCAACTCTATGAGGGCCTTTCTACCATCATGTGAATTAACTTTTTTTGTCTTAGTATGTGTTCTTACCCCAAAGTGATTGATATTTTCATGTTAACATGCAGGAATAGATTTGTTTCTAAGATAAATAAAAGAAAAAGTTTCAAACTAAAAGTTTTGTAATTAATAACTTGAATGAAAAATAAGTAGAGTGGGAAATTTGGGAAGGGAATTATGAAGCAGAAGTGATATGGGAACACTATTGGCTGTTATGTTGTATGTATGGAGCAGGTCCCACATTAAAGGTTACTTAATCAATATTCTTGTCTTTCCTCAGAATTTCCCTTTTCAAATGAAAACTACCTGAGGCTCAATCTATACAACTTTGTTTTTCCCATTTCTTAGTAATAAGGCAACGGTATGATTTATTTCTTTGACATTTCAGTGGTCCAACATTATTTATGGTACTGACAAGAGAGGATGCAGTCAGTGGTTGGAGAGCTTTAATGGGACCCACTGACCCACAGCAAGCCTTGGAAGTCAACCCAAAATCGTGAGTTTTTTTATGCCATGTCTATAAAGGAAAGATTTGTGATTCAGTATTAATAATAACAGTAGTGTGCAAAAATGTTGATAACCTTTCAATCATTTTAAATCTGAGAACAGAATGCTACAACATAAATCCAGTGGATGAATGATCAAGTCACCAGTTGCAGAAACTTAACTCTCACCCTTATTTGGTGGGAACCAGAATGATTCTTCTTTTTTCTTCAATTTTGTTAAGTCTTCGTGCTCAGTTTGGTGTGGACGCAATGAAGAATGCTGTGCATGGCAGCTCTTCTGTTGAGAAGGCAAAAGCAGTCATAGAGGGGTTCTTTCCAGAAGTAGAAATTTTACCTGATGGAACTGTTGCAGGTTTGAATCTTCAGACTGTTGAAGTTTGATGATAATCACAAGCAAATAACCCTCTTACATGAGTTTTGGTGATATGCCTTTGTAAAATATGTGCAAAACTCCTACATTTTTAAAAATTCTGATTACCTTGTATAAGGGATTATGTGTAGTACTTCCATCATCAACATGGATGCATGGGCTGTACCTATTGGTTTTCATGCAAATGTTACCATGTGTCATTTTCAGGTGTTCTTATATGGTGTTTTAGTCAAGTTTTCAACCATTTAGCCAACCAGCTTGTATCTAGCTTTCTATTTTTTTGCTACACATTTACAAACCATACTTGCAATCAACAATAGCAGTCTTAATCTTTCATTGACTTCCTATTTCAGTGTATTAGGTTAAGAATTGCATTTTAAGTGAAGTTAAAGAAAAGCTGCTTGTTGTTCAAGGTTTTTCAGTTGATGTATAGAAAAAATGGATTTATAAAAATTTCTATGCTCACACTGTTAATCAGAGAAGCTTTAATTCTCACAAGGTTGTTTCATTGTAGGTTACAGCTCAGGTTAGACTTGAACTGACTGTTTGTCCAATTAAGCAAATCTTTGTGACAAATTCAAAGTGCAACATAGATGTACTATGTTGAAGATAGCGTTGACATCATGCCTGTGCTTTTATTATAAAAATAACCTTTTCCATTCTAAGGAAGATATTACTAATCACTTTGTATATTCTCTAAATAAATGTAGTTCCAAAGGAGGAATCTGAAGGTGAGAAAGATTCAAGTGCACCAAAAGAAGAGCAAGCAAAACAAGATCTCCAGCTGAGTGATGGTATGATGGTCCTTTCTAGATATGTTGACCAATTTTCATAGATACCATCCATGAGGGTAGATATCTCCTTTGAAAACCCATGTACTCATTTCTCCATAACCTAACCCTTGTGTTTTAAAGGGGGTAATTTTCTAAAGAAACTGTGGTGCTGGGTTGGTGGGAGAATATCACATGGTAATTTAGAGAAGTTAGTGGTCAAGCAATTAAAAGACAAATTAATAAAACTGGTGCCACGAGAGTGGGAGAGTATAACAGGATAATTTATTTCACAATTTCACAATTAATTTCTTTCAAAGTCTCACAATTTCTTTCAAGTTTGACTTAAATAGAACAGTACCTTAAATTTGGACAAACTTTTGACTCTTGTTAAACCATCAATGGTTCCCGAAAATATCCTCAAGTATTTGGTTAAAAAAGCAGAGATTTAATAAACTAACAAAATACTGATTGTTTAATTTACCAGACAAGTATTTTTTGCACAAATTTTGCCTTTCCATTTCAAAAGTCTTGCTTTTGTAAGCAAGGTATTTTCTGAATAAATTTTTTTTATCATTTCTAATTGATTTCAAACCAGCCACATGGAATGAGGTTTTTTTTCTTAACATAATATTGAATTGCACAATTTTTCATAGCTTCCAATAGTAAAGATAGTTTGTGGAGGTGTAGAAAATAGTACACTGTACTCATGATATTTTTTAAACAAAGAAATTCACATCACCTGTGAGCACATTGTCAAACAGGTGCACACAGTATACAATGCATGTGTACAAAGTTAGTCCATTATTGTTGTCTGGGAGGTTTGAACAAAAGTTTTATTCAGTTACAGAATTGGCCTGTTACAATCAAATTTATCATATCACACAATGTGTTTTCCAAACTTTCAAAGAATTTGGGTTTTTCTTTCCCACCATGAATGGTCACCAAGCTTTGCCTGCTTGCTAGTTCCCTTGTTATTGAAATAAAACAGAGCTAAGAATTATGTGGAGAAGTCATTGCAGTGGAAAGTGGTATTTATGTTGTGGGGAGGGTAGATGGCAAATGATATTGTTTCAGTCTGAAAAGTGGAGAAAATTTTAATTCCTGACATTTAATGACTGAAGGGAATGTTTTGTTGCTTTTCCTGAGTTTCATTCTATAGTGTCATTGCATTTTGAAAAATGAAAAAGTTCCTCATTTTGATAATTTTAAATACTGTAGAGACATTCAGTAAACCACTGGGAATGGAAAATGGAAGCATACCCCCTGAAGCCATCACAGCATCATCTGAACTTGATGATAAACACAATGCTTCAAGAGCTCGCCTAAACACCAAGCCTGAAGATGAACTGATGGGAGCCTGGGTTCCATCACAAAGTGATGAAAACCAGTGGCTCCAGGTGAATCTTGGGAAAGTGACAAGGCTGGTAAAGATTGCTACACAAGGAGAGGCTGGGGAGTCTGCATCACGTCATGTGAAACAGTTTGGTTTATCTTATAGCCTCCAGGGAGAAGAATTTATACCTTATGTAGAGGATGCTACTGAAAAGGTATGGCATAACAGCTGTTTGTAGGATCACATTTTGCATCAATGTATATGGTAATGTTTGTTAACTTAACAGGAAATATGGGAAATATTTACAAATAGGTTATACATGTTGGGGAAAAAAATAGGTATCGTTTTGCTTGATTTCTACCTACATGTATTAGATTGTGTCTCAAGTGGATGTTTATTGTTGTGATTATTAACCGTTTCAGTCCTGGGATATCTTTAATCATTCTCCTTACTGTCTGCCCTTTGGTTTTTATGATGTTAGCTCAGAGAATTTGGTATTGGATAAACTAACGATCCCCTAATTGGTATTGTTCTTTATTTTCGTAATTTGTGTGCTTGATATTGTATTGATATTATAAGGAAAAATGATGTCTGAGTCACTCACGTGAGATGAAGGGTTTAGAAAATTAATGAGGCCTCAAGCCAGAAATGTTCATGAGACAGACTATTCAAAATGTTAAGTAATTGAATCAGCTATGTTTAGGGACACAGGTGTGGTAAGGGATAAAGAGGTACGCCTACCAGTTGAACACCAACATTGGCCAATATAAACAGTGTTGATACTAGATAAGCTCGTTTCAGAATTATTTTAGATAGTTTTGATTTGTTATTGTAATTATGAACAGTTTTGGTGTTTGCACAATAGTCAAATTACAGTGACGTTAACCTCACACATTTGGTTTTAGAGCCCCTCTCTAAACAATTTTAATCAATAAAACATTGAAAAAGTGACCGTAATACATAGATCACAATTGTGAGGTGGTACAGGCTGAACCTTGTTACTTTTGAGAAATAAGAGAAGAAGAGAATTGACAGTCTACTAATTGAAGAGGAAGACTGTGTTTCACCTTTACTACAAACGGCATTATGTCACATGACATCAAGACTGAATCATTTGTTGGTATACTACCAAAGCTAATATATTTATTTCTTGTTCCCTTGAAAATATAAAAGTCTTGAGAGATCTTACCAAGTGTTATGATGCAGTGAGGTAATTGGCACAGCTTTATTGTGCAGAAAAATACTGATGAAGAATTGTGAGTGCTTCGGCCTGTACCCCCTTATTTGACCAACTAGTCCAATTGAGGAGTAGCACTCAAGTGATTTTTCCAAAAAATCAGATGCTCTTAGACAGTAATTCTCAAGAAGCTTGGTAATTTCAAGTAAGTATTGAAATGCAAGTACTTAAATTTCTTTCAACCACTTCCAATTCCTGCAGGTGTTTGAAGGCAATTTAGACCAAGACAGCATTGTATACAACAGTCTCACAAATCCCACAGTAACTCAGTTTGTAAGACTTAACCCAAAGACTTGGAATGAAAACATTGCATTAAGAGTTGAATTCTATGGATGCGATGCAGGTATGATAACCAGTTATCATTGTTCACTAATGTTCAAGTACAGCACTCGGAATGGATTTGTTCTTCATTTCTTTTCACACTATATATATAGCTAATAGACAGCATTTATATGCTCCCTTATCATGTACATGAAAAATACATAAATAAACGAATGTGGGGGTAAAGTCTACCTTGGCATAAAGTGCTTAATGCTGTAGTAGCAGAGCTAAGTATACATAAGTTAAAGGATTAAGAGGACGCATCGATTCTCTGTGACTCTGAGTTTCGCGCCTAAGCGCTCGTCCGACAGAACTTTAAATCAAGGATTCTGCATAAAAGTGTACTTATGATGCATTATTTAGTGCTGAGTAGTAAGTTTCTAAAGAAACCTTTGCTGTCCCTTTCAAATTACAATCAGTGCAGCAACATCCCGCGGAAGCTCACCGCGGTTCAAACCAAGCCTAGCGCTGATTGGTAAATTTGAAATGGCTTGCATGCCTCAAATACCTCTGGTCGCTGAGTTTGGCACCGATAATATTGAGATAGCTGTATTCATAATTTCAGCTTCAATTTTCTCGAGGAAATGTTGAAGCTCAAATTGGCGGAAGAGATAGAGTAACATCTCACCGATCCAAACCCGTTGCCAGTTAGGAGAGATTTAAGTAGTTTGGCGATAATTCCTGTTTGAAATGGAGGAGGTCGCGGCTGGCTGCTACCAAGTTGTCAAGAGTATACAGTTCACATTTCAACTATTTTATCTGACAGGTTCGTACAGTGAACCACTAGGACTTGAAAATGGACATATTTCCAGCGAAGCCATAACCGCATCATCTGAACTTGATGATAAACATAGCGCATCGAGAGCCCGCCTTAACTCCAAGCCTGAAGGTGAATTGATGGGATCCTGGGTTCCACTGCAAAGTGATGAAAACCAGTGGCTCCAGGTGGATCTTGGAAAGATTTTAGAGGTGACGAAAGTTAGCATTCAGGGTGGTGGTGATGGTGTGAGCATGTATGTTACCAGCTTCATTTTGCTGTATAGTGAAGATGGAGAAACCTTTCAGGATTACCAGGAAAACAATGCTGAAAAGGTCAGGAACATTTGTATGTGATACATTTTGACTCAGAACTGTGTCTTGCACGTGAACACTCATCAGAATTTTGTACCCAGTACGTTTAAACAATGACCATATCAGCGGTTCCTTGGGCACTTTGAACATCAAATGGTGGAACCGTGAAAATGAACGCACACAAAACTACCAGCTATGCTTGGCTGAGTTTCACGAAAGTTCACTTAATTACTCGCAAAATACATTTAAAGTACATTTTCTGCACCCAATTTTAACTTTTGGTTAGTTGGTTTCAGTCAGTTGATTCATTTTTCATGTTGCGTCCAAAGGTGTTTGAGGGGAATAATGATGGTGACACTGTCGTCAGTCATTGGCTGGTACAACCTGTTAAAGCACGCTACTTCAGATTGCAGCCCAAGACATGGAATGAACAGATTGCGTTAAGAGTAGAGTTGTATGGTAACACTGCACCAGGTAATTAATGGACTCTACAGTAATCAAGAGATGGTTTGCGTCTCCTTTAGATCAAAATATGATGATGCATTTAAGGTAGAGCAATTCCCTTTACTGGAGCATAAAAACCACTAGAATTAGCCTTGCCCTAAGGTTTGGCATAGTGGCTCAGTTGGAAGAAGCATCCAGTTGGATGCTGTGCCAATCTGGGTGGCGTGAGTTTGACTGATTTTCTCAAGTTTCTTTTTCTCCACTCTCTTTAATTACCGTTCACGGGCAAGGATCATTTCAACGTTTAAAATTTTAACTATTTTGAAATTCAAAGATCATCGAATTGCCATTTTGTTAAAATCCATATCGTCTTTTTATATCTTGCCATCCTTCCTTTGTTCTTCAAGTTTGATATAAGGCCTGAGTCATTTACTTTGAATGAGAGAGTTCTCTGACAAACGCCAGTTTGTTGGAATTAAGGATCCTCCTAGTAAAGTCTTTGGGGCTTGCAGGAAACATACTCTCAGTCCTAGTTGTTACAAAAGTGGAGTAATATCTTGTGTAAATAAATAGATAAATGAATGAAGAAATAGATATACCGTTGTGCCTGTAGCACCCTGTGTTCCTTGTTAATGCCATTAACATTTCGATAACAAAGTAAATCATACTAAATATTTAAAGTAACTATTTCAAAATTTTTGTTCAAAGGTCCAGTTTGATCTCTATCTTCGTAAACTAACTAATTCTTGAATGGCGCAAGCCCTAAGACTGAAGTAAATCATCATCTAAGTAGCCCAGCTTTGAAACTCTTTATGTGGCTAATTTATATCATCAGTTGATAAAACCAAAATTATCTTGTGATACCAACGCGGCGCCACAGTTTCTGTAGAAACTTAACCCGTTTATTTATCATCTAAGTAGTTAGGCTTTGCCCCTTACCAGTGGATGAAAGCTATCAGTCTTCTCGTTTGTATGGTAAAATACTCATTGCAAGATGGAGATGTCCTTGAAATTATGTTTTTGGTAGAAATCCGACGATGTTTAAACTCAGTTTCTGTCAGCCGTTTGACCATAGAGACTCAACATTGTGAATCTTAATGAACTTGGTTGTGACCATTAATTGGCGCAAACGAACCATTTAACCGATTATCCACTGATGAAGGGCTGAGCCTGAGACGACTGGGTTTTCTTTTCAAGTTTTAATCTGAAATTAAGCAATTGACATTTACTAGTTAAAAGCTAATATTTTACTAAACCATGCATACATTACTTTACTACCTTAGGAAGCATAAACTAACTCGGTAAATGACTTTATAATGAGAGGTTGGTGTACGATTTATTTCAACATCATATTGAATTATTCATAGAATAAGATATGCTGTTATCTTGAACTGCAGTACTTCCTGATGGGTGTTTTAAAAACTTTTAACGTTTCTGATATTTGGAAAACACACCTGCATAATCATATGGGTTGTGCAAATAACATAATTGACTCGATACGAAAAGAAAAATTAACCAACATTTGTTTACTCATTGTTCTCAAACCATAAATGTTTTAAGAGATCTTAGAGAATTAACTAATAAACATTTTGATCTATGTTAAGACTAAAAGCAATCGTGTCCATTATACAGACTATATATTATATATACAGACTTTTTTTGCAGATATGGCCCAACTCTTACAACAAACCTCACGAGTACTCGTTGTATTGGGAAAATATAACGAGTACAGAAGATCATTTCATATACCTTGAATTTGGCTCAGGTTTAAATTGCCAATCTTTATCCTTTGTGAAATATTTTCCTCTACATAAATCCCCGTCCTAACTTTGTTAATAAACCTACAATGCAGAGTTTCAAAGTTCCTAAGTCAAATTGACACACGATGTAAAGAATTTCTCCACAAGTGGTAGTGGGTTCTGTTAAAAACTGATGAAGTGATTTTCAAGTCATATCTAAAAATGAAATACAAATGCAGTGCTGTTAGACAGACCATAACCATAATTTGCAGGAAGGAGTTATTCTAACCTTGCTGTATAATGCTAACCCTGTGGTAAGTTTAGCATAAATGTTTTCTTTAAATATTAACGTATCTATTACAATAAAGAATTCTATGGACGTTTCAACATTGCCACGCGCTAATCGTTTGTTACCTTCTTGTAAATCATGCTAACTTTATATATTATGTTTTTTCGGAAATTTTTTTCAGTGGTGTTTGTGGCTTATCATTAAAAGTTAGCAATATACAACAGTTTGGTAAAATATGACCTGTGTTACTTTTTAATCATAATGAGAGTTTTTGAACTGTGTAAAACACTTAACCAGTAACCCAGTAGCTTCACACACTAACTTCATGATCTAAACTAAATTCACTTTTGGCTCCTATGTTATATACATTAAAGGGAGACAGTGATGTTCGCCTATCAATAGCGCATAATTTGAATTTGTCAGTGTATTTGGATGTTACTCAGTATCACATGCAAATGACTCCTTCCATCATCAGGAATGTATTGAAATATCGGCCACTAAGGCACTTTGATTTTCACTTCTACAGGTGAAATTCAAGAAACCCTGGTGTCAGAAAAAACTGATGGAAACGTAGAGGACACCCCTAAAGACGAGAAGTTAATTGAACAACCTCCATCAGAAGTCCAACAACCACCTCCAGAAGAGGGCGAAGATGATGGTTCAAAAGGGGTATTAAATGAGGATAGCAATGAAAGTTCTACTCAAGTGAAAGAAGACCTTCAACAAGAGGCAACTGTAGACAACCCCGAGGGTGAAAGTAAGCCTGAAATCGTAGATGAGGAAACAGTGGCTAAGAAAGAGGAAGATGAACCTAGCCAGAAAGGTGAAGTAGAAGTTCCGGAAGGACAGGCCGAGAAACAAGAAGAGGGTAATGGAGGTGGTGAAGGGGGTGCAGAAGGACTACCTGAGGATGGACAGGTTTCTGAAGATGTCAAGGAGAGTACTGATGGAGAGAAAAAATCTGAAGAGGCTGTGAAGTCTGAAGAGGCTAAAGGTGATGAGGATAGCAATTCAGCTGCCGAGGAAGCAACGGCTGCAGATGAAGGTACGGCTCCAGTTGACGAAAGTGTAGCAGAGGAGGTTAAGAATGAGGAAGGAAAACCAAATAACGAAGCAACTTCTTGAACATATCGCCTTCATTGCTCTTTTATCGGTGTGTTATTTAGATTACTTTAATTTGGTATGTTTTTGTAGAATATTTTATTGTTGTGTATATACCAACTTAAAGGCTTGTGTACAGATATCATGAATAAAATATTGTACGTAGTTTGCATAGATATATTGGGATAAATTAACAAGCGAGGAAGGTTCGTAGCAGCAACTGCGGCTGTCAAGAATGCACTAAAAATCAATTTCAGTGCTAAAATTACAGCTCTGCATGCCCAAGTGTTCCTGCCACCCTAAGGGCATGTAGCCTGCAAGTCTTTGGTCCACTATGGGTACGGACAGACTGCAAAGCTCCATCTTGGTTACTTGCAAACATTTAGTCTAAGGTCCACCTTTAGGGAATGCAACGATCTTACAGGCTAAAAGGGTCCAACCACTTGAAATGGTCTCACTTGATACCATGGTGATAGCAGGGAAAATAGTATCACTACATAGAATGGTCCAACTAATTAAAACGGTCCAATCATTTAAAATGAGATAAAATAAATGAACCTCTTAAAACGGTCTCATAACGGGATCACACTAGGTAAAATGGTCCAACTTCTTAAAATGGTCTAGATAGAGACAAGTGGACATATGCCCACGTTGCTCTCCGAAAACACTCTGGCTCTGCAGGCTGGACCCTGACAGTTTTAAAATCTATGCACTCTATTTCTTGAAGTGATACCATAGTATTGCACTGCGCATTTTGTACTGTGCATAAATATGACGTAATCATGCAAGTAAGCGCGTGCGCATTCCGAGAATAAGGTATTGTTTTTCAATACATGGACTAGGAAAGGGGTACGATGGCGTTTAGCTCATTAACAAGCACGGTGACCTATATTTTTTTATTGCATAATTTTGTTGTAGCAATGACTCCCTTTAAATTAGATGAATTTTAAAAAATCTACTAAAGGGAAAAAAAGATATGGCTAAAAGCGTGCACAAAGCCCCTTGCACGATGATGCAAATTGACCTTGAAAGCAACGACTCGAGGAACGATTTCAGTCGATGTCGTTAAAAATTGCGTATTTTTTCATAAATTGTGTCTCAAATTGTACCATTCTCTCGCGACTTTCTACCTATCAAGAAGTTTTTAAAATGTTACTTCAAGGAGGCTCCATAGGGTTTTTGCTTAATGTTGGCGCGCGCTTGCGTAATGTTTCTCGAAAAACTTTCTATGTTTTCGCTTTTCTAGGTCACTGAAAGCCATCAAGAGGCGATGAGCAAGGTTCGGACTATCGTTTGGCGTAGTAAATATTAACAAAATGATTCTCGTTCTTAAAGCTAAGGCTACACGCAGGGAGGTGCTCGCCAGTGATAATTTGGCTTTTCCTTTGATTTTCTTCAATTTGCTTCTGTGAATTCTCTCAAAATTTTCACAATTTGTCCTGCCGATCATTTAAAAGCCGGAAAAATAGGGGTTACCAAGGCAGTTTCTTCGCTATATATGCAATTTTGTGTTTTCTCAAATTTGGTCTTATGAAATTTATTTTATCATCAGGCACTAGGAAGGGCACAAATATGTTTGACGGTCCACCAAATAATAGGAAATTCCACTGAAAGAATCGCGATAAATCTTGCCTGAAAGATCCCTATTTTATCACATAAATATTGTATCGAGTTAAATTTTTTTATAACACCTTTTCAGATAACAATCGTGCGATCGTATCGAGCCGCCATGTTTGTTTTGCATGTCGACAGTCTTAAAGCTCGCGCTTTGTTCGGACCCAAATCACGCGCGATCTAAAAACCCTATGGAGCCTCCTTAAACGCCCTTGCTTCTCGCCACCTCAAATGTACCGTGAACAGATCAAATGACACGCGTGATTTATAATGGTATAGGACCAAGTGGAGTCCAATTAATAATGGTAATTGAACTGAATGGAGTGCAATTTGGGCTGAAATCATACGCGTGATTTCAAAATCGAACGAGCGCGGAGCGTGAGTTCGATTTGAAATCACGTGTATGATTTCAGCCCAAAATTGCACGACACGAGGTTCAATTACCTCTCTATTACATCCATTTTGAAATCGCCCAAATACAGGCTTGGTCAGTTGAATTATTTTATTGATGTAGTACCAAGCCGGTTTGAAATTAAATTCATCATCATTCAAGAGTTTTGGAAACAAAAGTTGCAAAATTTGCCACATGATACTCTTTGTCTTTCATTTGCCTGAAATTTGATAGGTTACTCTAAACAAGCCTTGAAATCTGATTGTTTTTTTTGTTTTTAGTGTAGCCTTTTTATTGGCTGGGAAAAAGATGCGATTTAAAGCAACTAATGGTGCGATTCGTGAATAAATTGCACCAATTAGAGCCAATCAGATTACAGGGACCACCAGTGATTTCAAAATGGGTGTAATAAGGTGTGTAATCATACAGATTGAGTGAAGCGGGAGTCCGATTTGTTAAGCACGAGTATGATTAAGACAGAATTGGACGACACTAAGTCCTGTTACTAATTAATCAAAACTATGACAACATTTGAGAAAGAAATTAGACATCGGTTATGCGTTTTTTCTTGAAAAAAAAAACAATAGTTAGCTCGGCGAAATGCGAGACAACAGCGCGCGCCCATGACGCGTTCTGTCCACTTGTACAGGCATGACGTTAGCTGTCCTTTAATTGTCCTACTACACTGTCCAATAACAAGCATGACGCGTAGACTGTCCTATAAGTGCTCAAATCGGGGTTGTGACAACAAATCACGTTGGAGAATTTTGTTACAATGTTGATTAGTGCCAGAAGAGGTATAAGTGAGGTAAGTTTGGCGGATCATCTCTCTTACATAAGCACATAGTAGACAATTTCTTGAGTCCACCTTGATTCCGCAGAATCAGGTTTGATTCCTTTTTCAAACTTCAAGAGTATGTCTGGATCTCTCAAAAGGTCGAGAGTGATACCCGTCTTCTTGACGGCTGCATCCCAAGCCAGGCCAGGTGATGTGAAATATCACGCAGGATCAAGCTTGTATTTGTTCATGCAAACCTTTCTGAAGTTTTGAAAAACATCTGCGAGGATAAGAACGTGTCTTGAGATAAAGATTGTGATAATCTGCCACTATTTTGCACCCAAACTTTTGCCAAAAAGCGAGCGTGTTCATATTCAGCATCTTTGATGTGTTAATTACAAAGCCTTGAAAATAACTCTTCCTTTGGTGGCAACTCCGTGTCTTTCATCTTCTCAATTGAATCAAAGCAATCATATGGGAAAACCCCCTTCGCCATCATATCTGTGTAGTTAATATATCTCTTGAGGCATCGAAAATCATTTTTGTGGAGATTTGAAGCAAGCTTGGCGAGAGACGACTGCGTGAATCTGAAGTCAAACTTCACATCAATCGACTTCACTTTCCCATCTTTTCCAATCTTACTCAATCTTTCCCAAATTTTTTTTCTTGAAAGGAATTTATTTCTCCTCGGTTTTTGGGATGCACAATATGTCTTCTTGTTGCTTTTTTTTTAACTCTTTCATTTCCTTTCGTTCAAGATCGATTTCGAATTGCTTTTTCATGGGTTTTTCAAGGATCTTGAGGTAAACCCTGATTGCATTCTTGATCTCGTTAATACACCCCTCGAAAAGATCATCAAGCCTTCCTTCAAAGTCTTTCCTATATATCATGAGACCATAAAATTTCTCAAGATATTCACACATTGTGATCAGTTCTTGATTCTCAAGATCCCACATGATGTGATTCACAACTGATCCCCTGATATTGAAAAAATTCTCCCCTTTTGTTTTCTTTACCTTTTCAACCAAATCTGGGTTTCATTTTTTCCATTTGAACATTTTTCATCTCTCTCTTGAGTTTGATAAACAATTCGGGATCAGCTTCTTTTTTTTTACATTCCTCCTTCCATCAATGAGAGCCAAAGTCTTCTTATGCTTGATCTCTCGTGAATTGTAAAGACTCCATCAGCGACTCCCGCTTCATGATTTTCGATGTACTAATTCAACATTGGAGTTTCAATATCATTCTGTTTGCAAAAATGAGCCAGTAATCTTGGATGTATATTTTCCGTATCAATGTCGATCGTTGTTTTTTTTTTTTTTTGGTATTATGTCTCACCTTTTTTGATGACTCCTTGAAGTGATGGGCAATCAGCAAAATATCGTCTTTTTCTCCTTTTTGGGTGAAAGTGACAATGTGTTCACCCTTTTCGTTGAGTCTTCCAAGATAAAGCTCAATCGTGTTATTTCCCCTTCCTATTCCTCACCTTCACCAATCAAAGCTTTTGAAATATCAACAATGTATTGGAGCTTTTGTATGTTAACTTTCTCTTTCAATCTGATTCTTCGGAGAGGTTGTGAAAGAAAAAACAGGAATCGTCTTTGGCTTCTTGAATTTCAGATTGCAGCACCTCTGAACCTTCCCGAGAAATGGCAGTGGTCTCTGATTTTCATCGTCTTCATCAAAGAATTCTTTCTCACAAGTGACATGTTTTGGCGTTCTCGAAATTCGTGGTATCTTCACCTGTCGTGACAATCCTGATGGATATGGTAGATATTTCTTACACCTTTCCCAAGATGAATGACGAATTATTTTGCAAGATCTTAATCTTCAGTCCTTTTGTGTCTCACGATTGGCTTCATATCAAACTTCTTTTTCGCTCTCTCGCTTGCAAAGAAGAGGCGATATCCTGAAGGCCCGTGTTTCTCATATTCATTTGTAAAACTCTTTTCTCAAGTTTCAATCCCCTCTGTGGAAAATTCGAAATAAGCATAACAGACAAATAGAACTGGCATCTTGTGGTTCACGTTTTTTTATTTCACGTTTTCATCATCAGGCTTGAGGACCGTGACTGGCTCATGTCCTTGGCAGATTTCGATGTGTTCGGACCTTGCCTCAACGCTTCCGAAGGAATTCAGACATCTCATGCAGAAGCGAACTCGACCATTTTGACCTGAAATTTGAGGTGAAAGAAGTTTGGTCATGTGTTTGATAAGACATTATTGCTTCTTCCCGTCATTGTTGGAGGTGAGGAGGAGGTTCACAGTGTTCTCATGTTCATCGGAATTTAATCTCCGTGGGGAAATCACACCATCAGAATAACCAAGGATATTGGAAATTCAATCCCAGAGAAATCCAACTGATCCACCTCATCTTTCAAGTCAGATTCTCAGAGGGTTTGACTGAAAGGGGTTGAGGTGTCTGAGAATGCACCATCGAAAGTATTCTTCATCTTCTTTCTTGACGTTCTTCTTTGCGATCTCAATGTCAAACATAAGATGATTCCCCAAACAGTTGGGACTCTACATGATGAATATCGTGGGAGATTACCCTTTGAACTCTTCAGTTGCTCTCATTGTTTTTGAAGTTTTGAAGCAGTTCCTGAATTTCCTTCTCAAAGAGGTTGAAGACATCTTCATTAGTTGCTTCAGGATTTTTAAACACACCAGTGGAGAAATGAGCTTCTTGGAATCTGGAACGATCCGTCTTCATTATCTCCTTATCACACGAGAGGGTTATGATGACCTTTGTCTAACGATTTTCTCGCATCAAACTCAAGAATTAAGGTTTTGCCTTTTCCATAAACTTTGAGGATAAAAACCTTGAACACCTTCAATTCGAAATTGTCTTCAGAATCCTCTCAATGCGCTGACTGATTCTATGGCCACAAACAAGGTGGACCAATATGATGCTTTGGACCATTTTAATTAGTTAGAACAGTTTTAACCCGTTGGACCATTTTATGGACCATGTCTACCATCAGTCGGGCCATTTTCTTTAGTTTGGCATTTTGATCAATTGGATAACTATTACCAGTTGGATCATTCCAGGAAACAGTGAAAACTGATAGAAGGAGAGTTAAAATAAGCTGGTTAGAAACGTGGTGCGTAGGGCGGGTCTGGAAACTTTTGTAAGTCTGCTTTCTCTGGCAACAGGGCTGCGATTGATTCCTTATTGTTTGTAGTGTTCTTAGTCTTAGTGTTCAAGAATATTTTTTTATTGAATTCTTGACTTTACAAGTTTGACTCTAAATGCGTAATTACACGAGTTAAAACTACAGGTATAACTTTATCTATGACTTAAATAAGTGAATTGGATCCTAAATTATAAAACTGGGAACGTATTCTAATACGAAACAAGAACCCGAATTCCTCTGAACGCTTTTCCTCAAATGAGCGAAAGCCTTGACCACGCAGTTGATGAGAATATCTTTAAGTAATTTGAAAAATTGAGATAGTGGGGTAGTCCGATTTTGTAACAACTGGCTATCAATAATGAGGAAAACGTCGTCGACCAACCCGGAGAGAAGTAGCTCGAAGTGCCCTGGCCAACAAACCGAGAGAGGCTTTCCGCCATTCTTTGTGTCCTCAATAACCGTATGATGTAATGCTCTCATCTTAACGTCAAGTCTATGCCCCACCATTTACAGCTTAATTCAAAGTAATGATGCAAAAGAAAAAGGAAATGTTACCAAGCTAAATTAGCAAAGAAATGATAAAATGAACAAGTTTCGTGGACAATACCTATGAGTGGGTTGAAATGGAAGACGACACATAAAATAGAAAAGAACAGAAAACGTGTTAAGGTGTTGATGGAAATATTTGCTGCGCTTTTTAGGTGTCATCAAACAATGCCTCATTTCCATTTCTATCGGCTATGACGATAGCAAGTTGAATAAATGTTTGATTTGTGACTTTATCACAGCAATGAATCATCAGCCTTTCTCATTTTGTATCTGGAAAATAGCAGCCTGTGAAGCGAAAAGAATAAAAATTAGTAACTATGAACTTAACATCAATAGGCGACAAAAATAACCACATGCAAACCAGCATTTGTAGTTCAGAAGAGATCCCAGTAACGTTGGAAAACATAGCAAACTTGTTTGACTTTGACGAAGTGAGATGTTTGGAATTTTCTGGGACCTGGGGCCAGGATTTCAAGAGTTCTCCAGTTCCGTTCTCTTGGTTGCTCTTGACTCTTTTAGCGCATTATCAATCCTCAAATAGAGGCCCTACATATCTTCTGGCTAAATAATATGTTTTCTAGGTAGTGTATACGGGTATTTTTTGATACGAGAGAAAATTTACTTTCTTTGTACAATCAGAAGTATGTATGTTTCTAGCATAATCTGTTGTTTTCAAGATTTCTCTATTGATTTTAAACATTTTTGCACTTTTTCTCATTATATTCATTCGTAGTATAGGTGTTAATATTCGAAGGACAGTCGAGACGTTGTAATTTACTGATCTTTTTTCACAGGAGAAGTTCTTACTGTCGTGGTACCATGATGGACTAGAGTATTTTTTACACCAGTTTAACTGCACAAACACATCAAACAACTACTACATAAAATCAGGGAAAAGATAATTTTTTGGGGGGTCCAATTTTGTAGCGAAATGTTGTGCTGGTCAGGTGTGAACTGTACCTTAAGCGTGGTAAACATGTGTCCCTGCTCGCCAACATGGACATGACTGTCTACCATATCATCGATAAACTGAATTTCTGAACCAAGATGGGGTATTCTATGTAATAAACAACAAGGGGAATCAGATCTACTTTGGGCTTAAAGATAGGAAAGTTATAAATGCCTTACAAAAGCCAGAGTGAGTCCTCAGGTGTATCTCCCGAGGCTTGTAATGTGCACAGTTTTTAAATGCGTTATTAACATAGTGGTCATTTCTACTTCATAATCTCAACTTTATTTTCTTAGCTACTTTAAACATCATCGAAAGATGGTTATTGACGAATAAAAACTCACTACAACGACCACAAAATCATACAGACATAAAGGTAAAATAATGTGAGCAAACAATTCCGTTCAATCAATCAACTAGAACTGAAACAATGTACCTTGCTCGGATGACCACGAACTGAAACACTGGAAACAAGTCATCTAAAGAGACCAGTTTCTTCTCTCCCTGCCAAAATGAGTTAACCTCCTTCCCAAGAGACAAACACAAAGTTACCAGTTATATTGAACTGTTCAATCATTAACATGATCGTCGATCTTGACAGAAGTTCAACTTACCTGATTAATCTGCTCAAACGTTGACTTTAACACTCCAAGCTTCTCCATCGGGCTAAATTTTGTGCTGTAATGAAAAAATACGTGAATGGTTAGAGAAGGGTCCCAATGATAAGAAGGCATTACAACAACACGCTTGGTTGCAAGTAGTTCGAATGTTAAACTCAAATTTAGAATTACCGGCAAAATATCGCCATAACTCCGCTTCAACTATAACAATTAAGTCCACTTATAAAAACAGCGGGGCATGAAACTGAAGAAACCATCAATTCAACAAAACAACAAACTCAAGACGAAGGCTTGAATTTTAATAAAAAAATTCACGAAGGTTTCGTCATAGTTAATTCAGAAGAAACTTCTCCCTCCGGTCTAGATATAGGACTCGCTTTAAGAGGTCGTTTAGGAAAACTAAGATCAGACGCAATAAAGAAAATCCACCATTTAGTCTCAAATTTATTGATAGCATACTTTTAGCTTTCTATCAAACAAAATTTAATAATAGAGATAGCTTAAGGGTATGTTTCATGTCGTCCAAACAAGAAGTCCGGCTTAGCTGGGTAGACAAGTCTTCTCATCATCTTACATTAAACAAGACATTTATAACAAAAAACAAAATGGAAAGTACCTAATCTGCCGAAGGGACTCGACAGCACTAACGTAATGTTCTGCTTCTCTCCTTTCCAGTTTAACCTAAAATTGTCACAAATAGTTAAGGTTACATGAAATCCTTCTACGTTAAGATGAAGGTAACAACTTTGTCTTAATTATGACTTGGACTACACGGGATCCTTGTAGCTCTCCAATAGCCTAAAGAACAAGGGATATTTTAGTGAACAAACAGAACATTATGGAAAAACTAAAGCAAGCGAATAGCAGAACGCAAAGTTAATGTTTTGGCCTTCAGTGATACCTAATTTGCAGCATTCAACGAGTTTTCCAGAGCGAGCTTATACTTCTGTTTTCACATTCACACCGAGGCAAACTGTGTCATTGTAACTTTACCTCGTCTGAACGACTTCCCACATCTTGTTCTTTAGTAAGCCAAAACTGCCTGAAGAATGAAACGATATTTATTACGATCACGGCGGCATCACGGCATTATTTACAACAGACCTGCTCACAGCTACAACGAACAGCTATTAACTTAAATCACAAATTAGTATAACAGAACCATTTGTTCTAATTGTGTAATTTTGTAATAACTAAGGAGTAAAAAAACATAACCAAAATCAGAATCATCCATTTTGTAAAACAGCTATCAACTTATTTAACAGAGTTATCATGTTTGTGGGGAATCTCACCTTTTCATGCCTACATAAGTCATTAGTGCCCAGTCTGAGCGCTTGTTTAGCAGCTGGATTTGTTCCCAGTATGCACTGTCTGCTCGTTCATTATCCAAGGCATACAAGGTGAACAGTGGGGGATAGAGCCTGGGGAAGAGCAGGGGGTGTAGCAGAACGCTGCTTGTGGCAGCCTCTTCTGTACCGTGATTGGATACACCCGACAGTGTGGCAGTATCTAGGTGCACATATTCTTCATTGGGAAGTTCGGGAAATAGAAGACTGAGAAAAAGAAAACAAAGAGAAAAATAAAGAAGAAGAAAAAGACTAGAAAAATAAGAAAAGTATATGAAAAATATAGAAAAAGACATTTTGCATCATGTATTGTTTAGGCAGGAGTAAAATCCTGTCAGTCAAATGTCATCTTACCATATAATGTTGTATACCCTGATGACAAAAGATTTCACTTCTGCCACAGCGTGAGGTAACAGTCTCCTATGAGTACCCATACCAATGTAGCTTGCTCGAAACACATCAATTAGTCCATTTACAAGTTGTCCTACTGGATGCTGCTTAGTGTTCATCGCCTGCAAAAACAGAAAGTAATTAAACCCGTCTGAACTTGTTTAATTACTGATTAAATGACATTGTGACTAATATTTTTTTACTCAAATTAGTGATAGAGAGAACCAGTAGTAAAAGTTTATGTTCATTATTTCATCTCTTACAGTACAACAACGGTTACGGGGGTCACTAACAAAAACTGACAAATTCGATTATAATAACCTAAACATAGAATGTTAAGAGTGTATTACCTAAAGTGATCTTCTTTTACACATTTAGATTATTTAGCTGTGTCAAAATTCAAAACTGTGAAATTTAATGAGCAAGTGCTACATTCAAGATAGCAATTTGCTAACAGATTTAATGCTTGACACCAAAGCTATTGGGAATTACGACCATTTCGAGGAACTCTGTACTTAGTCATCCTTATATAGTGGGCGTAAGTTCATCAATACACTTATACGTGTTAGCAATCGTCAGTGTTATTATCATTACCATTATCCTTATCATCAAATTACCATCCATATTATTTTTACTATTGTTATTATTGTACGACTCTTTTTCATCTCTTAATTTCATTTAGTTGATCATTTAGAGAATTGGAGAGGAATGCATTTTATGGATTGACAATAATGCAATGAACTTGTGTCAAGGTTTGAAAATGAGTTGAAGGCTCATTACTCTTGTGCCTGTACAAACAGCTGATAAAAACTGCTCTTACCTTTGATAGATACGAGTGCAACTTTTCCAAATCTCCTGTGACTCTAGCAGTTTGTTCCATTTCACTGTTGTTTTTCAATAGCTCTAGAATGATTTCTTTCTCACTCTGCGTCAGTTTTGAGTCCCACTTACTTCTCAATGTAACTGATATGGACTTCCAAACGACCGACAGGTCAGCATCTTGATCACCATTACATCCCAGGGCTTTACGGCACTGAGAAAATAACGACATCCATTTCTTCTGAGGGGGGATCAGGCATTGGTTGTATGTAACTGAACGTCTGAAGATTAAAAAAAAATGACCCTCAAAATTTTATTTGAGCAGATCGATTTGCTTTCTAGATATCAAAGAAACCAAGAATTTCTCAAAACTCCAAAACTTAATATCTTCACCGCGCAGGTGAAGATAATTAATTCAAACGAAAGGATAATGATGTCGCCATTGTAACTGTTACATCAAAATGGCATTTCCCTTAAAAAGATCCCTCTTACTTCACAAAAATTACTTAACATGAATTCAACTACGCCAGAGAAAGTATTATTGTATAAAGAACTTGCTATATGACACGGTCATAGCTGAGACATTATGAGTATAGGGTCATCCCCATAAAATGGTTCGCTCCCCGTTACTTCCTACTCGTCAAAGTAGACTGGTCAAGCGAAAAATAAAAGGGAACAGCACAGAAAGAAGTCTCAGAGAGAGCGAGAGTTCAGCCTGGATGTGCGCGTTCCTTTTCCAGTTGTCTTCTTCACTCAAACGCTTCCGATAAGATACAGAGTAGAAAATTAGTATCCGGAAATATTCTAATTTTGCCAAATACTGGGATGGTCAGCCTCATTCGAATTGGGTGGCCTTGCGTACCCTGAAACCCAATCTTAAGATTACGGGCAAATTAATGCTAAGTCGAAGCCTTGGGCAGCAGTATCCCACTCATATCATTCATTAATAATGATTTTAATTTTTATGATAATACTGAAAAATATTTGGATAATAGTTGTTCTTTGAAGAGACCTTGTTGTCTTGTTTGCTGATCCTCCTGCTTCTAGTTTGTGAAATGTGCCATTTATTCGTATTCCATCTCCCCACGGGCCAGTAAAGGTACCCTCTATATAATCCCCATTTGGCATTGTAAGGACTCCCTTGAGAGGAAACAATACCAATCACTGAAAATGATCTACTTTGAAACAACAAATAGCCTACTTCCACTCTTCAATATGTTTCCAAGGCCGGATGGTTTTGAAAAGTAGGAGGCGACCATCGTTATTTTTTTTTTTTTTGGCTTATCGTTTTCTCACCAGGTATTTAGAATATTATCTGTGAATATGGGAAGTTACAGCATAAAGTATATGATATAACTGGTTCTGATGAATACAAACGTAAAATGAGGAGAATTTATCCGATAGCTAGTTATCCCATAAACAGTGCAAACGCGATCTTAACAAAGCACGAGGAAAAGATGACTGGAAACTGGACAAGTCACATTTTCGGTTTTCGTGAATCCTGACAAACTCAAAATAAGGAGAAGGCCGGGCCAATATCCGACCATCCTGACTAAACAAGTTCGATATCAACTCCAATAAGTAACAGGTTGAATTTAAGTCAAAAGTTTATAGTAAACAAAATCTAGAGATTCAAGACTTACTGGAACGTTCAAACACCAGAATCTCACCTCCGAGTAACATTGTGTTGCAATTCTACATACGTGTTAAACCACATCGTTTCATCTCAATTTGCTGACAATGAACAACTTAGTTCGCTTCAGGTCATAAAATCCTACCTTTCCAGACAACAAACAATCGCCTATGAATTCTCCTTCAAATTTTGTGTCATCATCACACAGTAGAAGACCATTACCCTAAATCAAGAAACATATTAAGAAATGTTTTAATATTGAAGCTTAATCAATATCACTGCAGAGAACAGAATCACAAACGATAATAAATAACACAAAGTTTTCATAATATGCAGCTAACTTAAAGTACATACAATTAGTTTGTTCTGTGAAAAGTTTCCTTGGTTGTAGATGCCATCAAGTGTTACAAGCACTCCAGGGCCTGTACGAAAGTCTGCCTCCCACATGCCAAGGTACTTCTCTCCTCTACAAAATTAACAGAAAGTAAATAATAACCATAAAAGAGAAAATAAATGAATACAAATGTTAGAAATAAATTTAATTTCTTGCAGAAACACTTGACTGGGCTTCACTATATGTGTCATAGAGTAGAATTGATAAATTTCTAAACATCATAGCACAAAGATTAACAAATTGTTTTCAACTGCTTCAATCTCGGTGAATGACAAATTTCCGTTTCGGGATAACAGACAAAATTCAATTTCTCTGCAAAAACCCACAGACTGTCTATTTTCTCAAAGCCCTTCCCTAAATTTCTCTGCAGCTCCAATTTTGCTCGTGAATAGGCTCTAAGTAGCGCTGTGATATGAGCGGAGAAGCCAAAGCCTTTCCAGCCTGTGAGCAATGTGAGCACACAACAGGTCCACAATTATACGCTCACTCCCCTCACTTGCTGAAATCTAGCTTGCGGTCTCCTGCTGATGACACAAAGTAAGTAAGTGCCTGGAACAATCTCTAGAGCATCAATGCTTCTTTGGACACACTAACACAGCAGAGATTTCAAGATTAGTGAAAAAAGTGAAATCAACATGTCGTCCTTTGTGGGAGCTCTCTTTTTTTTTTCTTTGAAGAAATTAGTTCACCATGCTGATTGAAGCATGAAAAAAAAATTTTAGTGCCTTTTTTCTATGCTGGGAAGACATCTGTAGGTGTATCATTTCGTATGGCGAAGTTTCCACGAAAATAGAGTTTGCCTCCATATTACCGATTGGTCAGTTCTTACAATAAGCAGGTAGTTTGTGACATTAGGCCACTTTCTGTGGCTTTCTGTGCACATTCAGTGGTTCCACACAAAATATTTTGGCTGTTTTGTATACATGTGTGTAGTTAATTGTTTATTTTCAACTTATTCAATATGTTATTTGAAAGTAGAATTTAGAAACATTACCTTAAGACATTATCCAAAACTCCATACCCAGATCGTTTGTCACGAAGCCATTCTCCAATGTAAAGTGTTGCCCCTGCTGAAGACAAAGTGCCAGACTTCATGCTTCCATGGCCAGAACGTTGGTTGTCAAACAAGTCACCAACATAAACATCGCCATTAGAATAGCTGCAACACACAGGTGTGAACGTGAACGTTTTAGCAAACTATATACATATACATACTTGCATGTACATGTATTCATACACAGGCTTCTGCTGCAGCCCTGCAAGTCATTTATGGTTCTTTACCTTTAATTTAATTGAAGTGAATGGTAATGGTTTCATGATCTGTGCACTACTGTTAGTGTACTTCAAATGATGAATGAAGAACCCAAGTGTTTAAATAGACATTAAACCAAATGCAAAAAAAACAAACCAAAAAAAAGTCAAAGAGTAATTCTGAGTACTTTAAATACAATTGAGCCTGAATGTTGTTGATATTGATAACTTTACATTCACTACCACAACATTAACAATTGAAAGTTTAGGAAAGTCCTCTCATGGAATTTTTAAGACATTGTGCACTTTTGTAATTAGACCCTCAAAACTGGAACTATTTATGAGGCCAGTCAGCCTCATCAATTGTCATGTTGATAGGTCTGAGCAAAAGTCACAGCCAATGGCTTTGAGAAGTAATAGTATCAGGAATCTGCTATAGTTCTTATTAACAAACTTCAATTCTTTAAGTACCAATCTCACAGGTTTGATAAGGTGCTTGTTTACTCTATTTGCTTCATAATGTTGAGTTCTCATGAATTTCACTTTTTTAAAATTTTTTAGCTTGTTTCAATGCAAGACTTTTTTAAATGTCTGGTATTGAAATTAATTAAAAGTTAAAGGGTATGTTGCAATTTAGAGCTATAGATCAGTGTGTGAGTATGCTCTTTTAGGAGCAATGTCTCATTGCACACATGCTTTTTCACATGCATGCCATAAGTCATCCAAGCCTTTTCACACACAAAAGTTATAACTCTTTGTTTGGCTCATTAAATATGCACATATTTAAGTAATTTCTCATCCCCTTCATGCTTAGTCAAGACAAGTATGCCCTGCCATCACTTTATTGAATGTTTTACAAAAAATAAAAAACAATAGCTGTGGCATACTATGGTTGATACAGAGGTACATTGATATACGATAAGTTGAGTAAACTCAAAAGTTTTACCTCACTTTACCATAACCAGCCATCTTTCCATTTTCCCACTGACCCTCGTACTTTTCTTTACCATGATCATCAACATTGGGTGGGAAGATCATGACCCCTTCTCTGTGACATAATTAAAAAAGAAATGATGCTTAATCATTTGCCTTTAATAGAGAGGCATGTGTGATAACAATCATTGTAAAGACAATATTCTCATAACAATACAGAATCACACTGCAATGTGAGTAGTCTCAGCAGTATTCATGGTAACAATGTTAGTTCATTATGCTTGCCAGCTAATAAATATATTCAGTGTGCACCAATGAAAAACATAGACTATTAGAAGTGCATTTTGGCTTGCCATCATCAATGTATTTCAATCTTCATTATTACTTCAACGAGTAGATGCTGATCCCTTCATATTTCTGTGCTGTTACTGACTGCCTTTTGTGCATTTTGATTTTAAGCATCCATGTTTTAGGAAATTCACTTTTAATGGTATTTGGATGAGGTGATATGTGGATGGATTCTTAATCCTATGAGTCTACATCAATACACTTCACCTGGTTGCAAATGAGTAATTGTCCTTTTTCATTAGGTTGAGTGTGTTTTGTCACGAGGTGCTTGGCTTGGTCAGATAATGCTATCTTTTATAAACTAGGATGATGCCAAACCATTGACCAAAATATCAAGAAAGGAAATGTTTTTGTTGAACATGCTGAAAACTTTAAGATATTGAAATATATAAAAAAAGATATAGAGGAGAGAAAGTACTCAGAAAGTACAGTAAATTATTTCTTCATTAATTTTGAAGAAATAAGGACATAGATTAACAAGTGGGTTGCAGAAGATTATCAAAAGAATGATCTTCATTTATGATGTTTGTATTTACACCCCATAAGATCATAGCCTGCAGGGACACTTTACATTTCACTTACCCATGCTGCAGGCCATGTTTAAATTCTCCAGTGTATTGCCGACCATCAGGCCAGTGCATTTCACCACTGAGAAAAAAAGAGTTCATCATACTTAATAAAGTAAACATAACTCCTCTTATTGTGTCAACACCAGAAATAGTCAATCAAAATGATTGTTGAATCCCCTTATTTAAAGGATAAAAGGAGATTGTAGGATCAGACTCGCCATTTGATCTGCCTGATTGGAAAAAGCTTGTAGCTGGTCAGACAGGTCGAATTGTTTTCTCCAGCAGCTAGTGAAAATCCAGAGGCAAATATTTTCTAACCAATCAGATTTCACAACCAGTCAAAATAAATGAATCATCAAAAAGTTTCAAGTTAATTTGAAACCTCAAGTTCCCTTCAGTTAAGCTTTCTAAATCAATACAGAATGCAATAGCTTTTCTGAAAATAATAGACTAAATATAAAATATTCATTGTCAAGGAAAGTCAAGAGATGAAACTGAAAATGATTTCTTGATTTGTAATAGATAATGACATCAATAAAAGTAATTACAGGGAGCTCTTTACAACAATTAACACTTACTGGCCATGAGGCTTTCCCTGTAACCACATGCCATGATAACTTGCTCCACGCAAAACAGAATCATGCCCATAGGTATATGAAGCTTCTCGAGCTGCAGCTGGTGCAAGGCTTCCAGTCTTGACATTGACAGAGTCACCTCCAAGTCTGTATTACAACAGGATAGACCAGTAAGGTCATTTAAAAATCAGAGGCTTTTTTTTAACTTCTCTTTACCAACTGTGTCAAGAGAGAGATCATGTTTTCTCTCTGAGCACAGATATACTTGCAAACACACTTGAATGTGTAAGTTCATGCTATCATGGTACTGGGAATTCATAGCTTGCTAAAACATATCCTTGTGTAGCAGTCAAGCATTTGGATCACATGAACCATTAATTGCATAACTATGTCATAAAGTTTAACATAAAACTATAATTGTAGAATGGGAATTGTTAACATCAATAATGCTGAGGATCATGTACCAAATTTTTGGAACAACACTCAACTAACAGCATGACAACTGATGCACCCTGTACTTACCTATATGTTGTGGTTCTTGAAATGACAGCAGCCACTGCTTGATTAATAGTCAATAACCAGTCTGCCTAGAACACAAACATAAAGAAAAGCATTTGATGGATGTGCCAAATCAAATTGGCAAATCATTCTTGTGGCAACCACAAATAGTCTTTGATGGGTTGACATTCTTTTTCCCCGTTTCTGAATTAGTGCCTTTTTCCAACAATGTTTTTAGTCCAAGATATCAGTAAAATACATGAGTTTTCTCTTTTAACCTTTTTTTACAGGTAGTAAGGTGCAGTACTTATTTAATGTTACATACTCTACAACCAGTGACTGTCATGATTTATTATGCTCTAATCAATTTCAATATCCCAAGAGAACTCGCTTGTTGAAAACTAGGATGGAAAAATGAAAGTAAGTGCTAGTGTTGTGGGGGGAATTGGGAAAAAGTAGTATGAATGTCTTGACAATTTAGAATATTTAGGCTCTTCAGAAAGTGATATCTCAGTTTTACACTGGAAGCTATTAATTTTTCCCTAATTTGAACAAGAGAGACAAGGATTGTCCTCTTTTAGAAAAGAGACAAAGGAGCTGAGAATATTGCAAATGATTTGCCTTACAGAGGGTAAATGAGCAAAGACTTTTCTCCACACGTAATTCTACACTGTACATGCTGTCATCATGGGTGAGGAAATCCCTGAAAACTAAAACCACTAACTGGGCATGCTTCTGTCTTAAATACAACATCATTTTGAATTTTCTCTGGAATTACTTTCATTACCCACAGCAATAAAATAAAGCGTAACAGAAATACTAGCACTGTGTGTCACTGAGTTCTTTTTTAAGTTACTAGTAAATTATATATGGTATATGAATTTATGAAATAAATCAAAATGCAGTTGTTGTGTTTTATCATAGGATATTAAAATAATCAAAACTGTCAAAAGATGACAAGGCATCAATACAGTTATGATTGGATTTGACAGCAACAGGATGAATGGTATATGCTCAATTCAAAAACACTGACACACAAAGAGCATGATCCATGAATGATGAGAACCAATGGCTTTATGGGAAATGTTTGAGCAGACATACATGTACTCAGTGATTCACTTAGCTTCCATTGTTCATTAAATGCTCATGCATGTTTGTAACCAGAGAGCCATAAGGTCTCATTGCTTATTGTGGATGCATTAAGTGTCAATGTTTTTGCACTCAAGTGTACAGTTGACTGGGAAAAACTTTGACACTTAAAGACGCATTTACAATGGAAGATGAGACCCCACATTTCTTAGGGTACACACTGACACATTAGCTATCATTAGCACATAGTGAATGATGAAAGCTATGCATGCTTTCTTGGAAAAAAAGAACTATCATCACAAAAGTTTTTCACGAATAGAGGCAAAAGTAAATCACTGATTACATAGTTGCACTAGCATTTCCTGTAAAGCAGTTGGGTCCGAGTGTTCCACGATCATAATTTTTATGGTCAAGGTGTTTGCAATTGTGTGTATATACAACCTGTAACATTTGATTAATCCTTTGCTAATCATTACCTTGTCAACTGTTGATGGAGCGCAGACAAGTAAAACTTCTTCCGGTGTTGTGATTTTAATTGAATTCCTGAAGCATAAATATACATTCAATGACTGAATGAGTACTAGGTTAACCTGGCCACTACTTGACATGCTCCATCAGTAAGCTGCTGAACAATGATGCATGCATTATTATAACCATAGTGAAGTTCTCAGTTCTTTCAATTCACCTTTAAGACCAACAACTGAGGATCAGTTCATTAAATCAAACCATTTGGTTACTACTGATAAAACTGAATTCATCATAACAAATATAATTAATATGCAATCACTGTATTTTTCATAATGATGCAATACAATATTTACATGACTTGTACATGAATCTTAAAAACAGGGTAATTAAAATTCAACTTTAACCCCAATAACTCAGAACCCTGTTTGCCCAAATCATTTTTTATTTCTCTTTGGAGTTTGAGTTAGCTGGACTCTATTGCATTTCATAGATAAATGAAAGTAAAGTAATGCTTGTCCTACAGAAAGATTTTCCTTGTCATGGCTATGGGACCAAGAAATAAATTGGCTTGTTCTGATGCATGTTGTTGCTGACTGCTGGGTTCAAATGAAACACAAATTTAGTATACTGCTAGGATCAGCAAAATGTCAAAAGTGTAAATTGCCAGTGAATAGAACAAGAAATAAGGTAATTTTTGAGCTTGATAGTGACATAAAAACGAATGTAACTATGATTACTTCCACAAATTGAAATCTTAACCCTTTAACTCCCAGAAGTGATTAACATGTAACTTCTCCCCAGAATATCAATATAATTATTATCCACCAAAAAGCTGATGAGAATACCCAAACTTATAAGGTTGAAGTTGTCATCTTGATCTAACACCAAATTCTTGTAACTAATTTACAAGGAAATGTTTAGCAGCTAGAGAGGAGAATTAACAATCAGATCCTGGGAGTTAAAGGGTTAACAAGAAAATATAATCAATTATATGTTCATTAAATGATATCAACTCACAAGACTCCTTCTGTGTCATCCACCCCTTCAGCCCAAACAGTAGTCAGAGGAAAGGCTTGGAAGCTTTTTGCAGACTTGAAAGGTAATAATACAATTGATTAATTGATTCAAACAGGTTTTAAAAAAAAGTCAAACTGAAAACATGGTCCAACAGTTGAAAATGGTCTAACCAGATGATTAAATCACTCCTACTAGATAAACTGGTCTAATTGGCAGAAATGATCTAGCAAATATCCAACTGATTAAAAAAATCTAACAAGTTAAAATGGTTAAACTAGAAACATGGTGGGTTACAATGGTCTAAATACGTAAAATGGTCCAAATAGTTAACATGATGAAACTAGAAAAATGCTCCAACTACTATGAATGGTTTAAGCCATTAAAAAGATCTAACAAGATAAAATGTTCCAACTGATTAAAATGGACTAACTAGAAAAATAATCCAACTGGTTAAAATTAAAATCCTTTGAACTGATTTTACTAATTAAAATGGTCCAACAGCTTCAATTGGTCTAACTAGATAAAATTGTTGAACTGCCTAAAGTGTTTTAGCTCTAGATAAAACAGTTCAACTTATTAAAATTGGCCAACCAGTTTAAATTGTCTAACTTGATAAATATTCCAACTATTTAATACACCCTAACTGGAGAAAATGGTTGAACCGGTTAAGACAAAAATGACTACACTCTAAGTACTATAATAACAACAATGGTCATAATAATGACAATGGTCTGAAAACAAAAAATGGTCCAACTTGTAACAAATGGCCTAATTAGAGAAAATTGTCCAACTGATTAAAATGGTGAAACATGAAAATCGGAACAAATTGGTAAAGATGGTCTAGCTGGAGAAAATAGTCTAACTAGTTCAAGTTATCAAACTAGTTAAGGCAGTACTGAAGGCTTATTTGGTGAATTTTGACCATTTTGGGAATAAAATATCTCATGACTGACATGTTGCAATGACTTGAAATTTTCACATAATTTTATGATTAATGATTCTACAACTAATCTGAGAAAAAAAACTTTTGTTTATATCAGTGCCATGAAATTTGGGAAATCCATTTAATTAAGGAGTGTGCCCAAAAGGTCATTTTTGAGAAAAAACTCTCTTAATCCCAGCCAATTTACAGTTACTTGAAAAGGTTTGGCACATACACATAGATAACAGTAATAAATATTTTCAGCACAGTCTGCCAAATAATGTTATTTTGACAATCTTATCCTCAAAAGATGAAGAAAAATTAAGGTTCAGATCAAATACCTTCTCATTCAGTCAATTTGTGGTGGACTGTGGCAAACTGCTCTATAAATTTTCCTTATTGTATTTAGTCTTGGTTTGCCTAGTTTCAGATCAAAAGATTAAATCTTCCCCTTCTGTTGCAGTGGCATGACATGATGTACCTGCAATAACTTATTTGCAAAAGCGACAAAATCTCTGTCATAATTCATCAGAGAAGCCATATTTACTTTCGTTCCTTTAATTGCCATCTTGTGTAAGCCAGTGAATTATGGCTGTAGTAATAAAATGCAATGGGTTATTCAATTCACGACACCAATTAGAACATGAGACTGTAAAAATTTGCATAGCAACAACACTTATCCTGTGATGTTAAGCTTTCTCTTAAAGAAATTGACATTGCTTGGTTGGGAAGTGAAAAGAAAGAAAGAGTGCCATCAGGAGCCTCAAAAATTTGACATGGTATGGGCTTGGTGTAGCCATTTGAAAGTTGCAACTTTCAATCTATTAAACATGACATGAAAAAATGGAATACATGATTATTTGGTCACTTATGGTTGCAATACATCCTGAAAATTTGAAATATCATTAAAAATGTTTAGAATAAAATGGTGAACAAAAACATAGTTCTGTTTTTGTTGCTTACAAAGTATATTTGGTTAAAATGGTCCAACCATTTAAAATGGTCAACCTAGGTTAATGAAGTTCAACTGCCTAAAAATGTTCTAACTAAAGAAAATGGTCCAACTCTTAAACATAGTCTAACTAGATAAAATGGTCCAACTTGCTAAAATGATCCAATTGGTTATGGTAGGATAACAAGATGAAATGATCCAACTGCTTAAAATGGTCTAACCATTGAAAATGGAAATTCTGGATAAAATGGTCATAACAGCAAAAAAAGTCTAGCAACATAAAAATGATCCAACTGCTTTAAATGGTTGCAACCAGTTACAATGGTTGCAACGGTTAAAACTGTCTAACTAGAGGAAATCATCTAGCTGGTTAAAGTGATCCAACCAGTTAAAATGGTCAAAGCAGTTAAATATCTTCCCACCAGTTAAAATGGTTTAACTGGAGAAAATGGTCCAACTCCCTAAAATGTTCTAGTGAGGTAGCATGCTTCAACCACAAAAAATGGTCTAACTAGATAAAATGGTCCAATTATTCCAAGTGGGGTAACTAGAAATTGTCCATCCACTTGAAATGGTCTAACCAGAGAGAATGATTCCACTGCATAAAATGGTATAACTAGATATAGTGGTCCAACTGGTTAAAAAAGTCTCACAAGATAAAATGGTCCAAGTGGTAGAAATAGACTAGTAAGGTCCCACTGTTCAAATTACACAATCAAACTGGTTAAAATTATCCAAGGTCTACCTATATATAAACACCCACTTGTGTAAGCAGTGTTCTTTGTTTTTTCTCTCAAGTCTTGGAAAAACAAAAAAACTGTCTCTCCCTGGACCAGGGAATTAGTGTTAAATAAGATTGTATCCTGAATGGTCAAAAAAATTTAACACCTTCTTGGAACATGATTCCAAAGTGATATTTTTTTCATTCCTGTTTTATTCAAGATTTCTCAATACTTGTAGCTATAAAGTTCTGACACACTCATTGCTCAAGGGCCTTTGCCAGTAAATGTTTCATATGTTATAAGCTTAATTGTACATGCATTTTGATTGGTTTTTAGTTATGATCTATTGGAGGACAGATGCATAGATGATCTTACCATTAATAACATTTTCCTTTTTTAGATTCCATGCTGTTGTGGGTCAGTACAGTAATGGATCACAAAGACATCCAAATGTGGTAAGAACACGTCCAGTGACACACCAGGCTGTGCTTTGTGTGCCACTTGTTTGTTCTTATCACATTTGACCTCATCTGTGATCTACAACTGAACAGACACTCAGCAACATGGAATCTTTTGTTGAATAGGCGATGGAACATTGTGGTTTAAGGGTATTTGTTAAATTTCGGTTAGTTGCACAAAAGCTATAAAAAATATCTTGTGTCTTCTTGAACTAAATAAGGAGAAAATGTAAAAAAAAGCAATTAAAACTGTCAGTAATGAATAAGCATACAAAAGTTAACATACCTGGTAGTGGACAAAAAAGTCATCAAATAAAACAAAGAGGGGTGTTGAAAATCTTGAGCCCTTAGATGGAAAAAGACTGTGAATATTGCTACTCCTTAGTAGCCGTCTGCGTGGATGCTTGAAGATCTCCTGCAGTGAGAAAGATAACCATTCTGTACATCACATGTGTCAAATAGGACAAATAAACATAAGTTCTGGTTGGGAAGAGACTGGGCCATTTACAAAGTTTTCATTCTATAAATTTCAACTCAATCTTCTTTTCACACATCAGTGTTTTCTGTTTTCCACTGCTGCTATTAATAATTTTTGTTATTAAAACAACCCCACAACATCTAGAGCCTTGGCTAGGCTCCTGCATCTATCTAGTTTGCACTAACTAAGGGTTTTCTCTGTCATTTCTATCTACCCAGCAGGTGTTTACTTCACTACTCCTAAAATCAACATACAATGTTCTAGACGTTTTTGCAAGACAACTTTTATGCCTGTACATATCAAGAAAAGCAAGTATTCTGTGAAATTAATAACTCACTGCAACTTTGGCTGGGCACTCAACCCAGAACTTGAATGTACGTTCAGCTTCTGCTTGCCTGTTTTCATCTTCAGTGATAAGCTGTTCCCATCGTTTAGCCTCTTCTTCCATTCTTGCACAGTTCACCATGTTCTCGTGTTTCTAGAAAAATTAAAATAACAATGATAAAAAGTGGAAACTTGTAAAACAAAGAAAAGTTAACTGATAGAGAGGGACCCAATTTTGTGATGCATGACCCACATACTCATCCAGATCAAAGAAATACCTAATGGAAACAAAAAATATTGAAAAGCAACCTGAAACCATGAAGTGCAATTTAAATTATAAAATTGTAAACAGTTTACTTTCTAATGAAAATAATAGACTTCAACAGGTCTCTCTATCAGAAAAAAATTAAGACTCAAAATAACTTTCAGAAGACTTTGTTAATTTTTGTGCACTGTTCTGAGTGTTTGCCTTTTGGCAGAGGTGAGCAAGGTGTTTCTAATCTAGGTATCATTGTATAAACATTAGGCGGAGCTGCTTCAGTCTGTACAATTCAGTTCATTATAAACGTACTTAACCCCACCACTAACTCTAATGTAAGTACAAAATGAAAAAGGTCTGACTCAGTGAAATTGCTGTTGTCATATCCCTTCTGGAGCCAACTTGACCCTAAAAACAAATTTCTAATTTCCTTTTTTTCACAATTGCCATAACAAATTTACCTGAGAAAGTTTTAGTGTGTTCTGAAATTTTCCCACAATTAGTTGGTAGTGCTGCATCTTCATCAATGGAAATTGCATCACACATTGGAAAGCATTGTCATAACCCACAAATTCCTACAATTTGTTCCAAAAATTATGTATTGATTAATATTGTGCACCTGTGTATTGCTTATTTAAGGTGGATTTTCTAACATAGACTCCACAACACATTTAAATAATAATTAACAAAACCACTCAAAACAAATTATTTGGAACAAATGTCTTAGAGTACCTTAATATTATCAAATTACTACATGTAAGTACAAGGAACATTAAAGAAGTTTTATCATCATTTTTCTTTGGTATCAATCTCTATTAGTTATTACTTAATCTCACACTGCACTTCACAGCTTGTGCATGTTATGCTGCATTACCTGAGCAGCATCATCCATGATATCACGTAGCACAGTTTTGCTCTGAGATGAGATATCACTGCAAAAGAAGATTATGACGTGCATTGTAAAAGTAACAAAGTCTGGGGTTTGATTCCTCATGGAGAAACTCAGAATTTTTGTCTGTCTCATGGTCATCACAATGCAGGTAGCATGTTTCTTAAAAGCAGTGATCAGTTATCCAATTCAAAATTACATAAATTTTGGATTATGATCTTCACCACCCACATGCCACCAGGGAGTTGATTCACATGCATCAGCGTGTCATGATGTCATACCTTGTTACACTTGAAACTGCTGAGAAAACACCAAATGCTGCTCCATTACTAAAGGATTCTGAATACCTGTAAAAATGACCAGCAGCATAAATGATTGAACACAAAGGCAAAAACAACATGTACCTTATGTTCAGAATCTAAACATCTTGAAATACAAGAATCTTAAATTGACTGGAGATAATTCAGAATTTGAATGAAACCAATCCAAAGCAAAAGAAAAAAATGTTACTTGAATTGATACATCACTCAAAAGGTATGGAAAGAATAAGGAAAATACTTTTATCTTCCTGTAAAGCTTGAATGTTTTTTTTGTGTAATAAACACACTAGCCTCTATAAATTCACATTAAAATTGTACAATTCACAATAAATGAGTCACAGTGAATTCTGTTCACTTGACATTTAAGAAGCCTCTTGAACTCAACAGATGTATCAACACATGTGAAGAATTTTCTCAAAAGAGTTTGTAGTCACTTTTGGAGGAGTGCTGGCTGAAACTACCAACAGAGGATATCAAGTCCTTTGGGGCAACACTTTACAAGCAGCTAAACATATTTATTCCATGATTTCAAAAGTAGTAAAGGTAACAGTCCTGGCCAAAATGTTCACGAAACTTAAAGGAAAATAGCAAGTCATCTTATGCCCACTATTCCAAAGAAGTTTGGGGTTAAATCTTTCAGGTATGACTATCGTGCAAGATTAACAGACTTGCAAACCAGTTATCAAGCTTTTGGATAGACAAAAAGTTGCCACTTTACATGAGGTATTTTCTAATTGAAACCTTTAAAATCAGAGGTAATAATCAATTTGTGCTGTGACAACATATTGAAACAAAAGGTAACTCTTCATCATTATTGCATTTAAAACCAATATGATTATAAATAACCACAACTTTTCTTCAAAATCAAACAGGCTAACTTTGGCCAATTTACTTGCAAACTCTTATTTACTTGTTAAAATGTACATTAACTTTGAACTGAATATACTGCAAGAGCTGGCTTGGGAAAAAAGTAATCTTCCAAATGACATGTACAACGACTGTTTATAAAAGATACAAGGGAAAGAAACAAATGATTTCTACCAGACTGCCTATAAGTATTTTTCAACTTGTTAGAAGTTATGAAATGTTTCATTAGCAGCTATCCATACCTCTCAAATGCTTGTAAAAAATCATCAGACCAACACAGATTGAATAGATCTTGAAAGTCCTTCATCGATACCACAAGCTGAGTAACAGATGTCAAACTTGTGGAAACACATTTCAGGATGATGTAAAAAGCCTGTATTATGGAAGATAGAACCTGTCCAACCTCTTCTAAGGCCAAGCATGACCATACCTCTGAAAAATTGGAATTTAAATACCAACATTATTGTCTATGTAAATTTTTGTAGTGTTATTGTTAGTTTCAATGCAAGTTGATTTTCTTCTCCCAAACATTTATTTCATTCCTTACAAGTTAAGCATACTGTAGGGGTATTTTGTATGATGGTTGCAGGATCCCATCTACATCACTTATAGGAACAACAGAAATTTGAAGTTACTGATTGATTACCTGATTGAAGGAATGGTGTTAAAACAGCTTGCCAAATAAGAGCCAGCTGGTAATAAAATAGTCGCTCTTCACTAGCAAGGTCACTCATTATCTCAAACATTCCACTCTTATCACTGCAAATTCAAGTTATAATTGTTAGTAATAAATAAGTGTAATTATCCCTACAAATATCAAGTAGGTGCAGTTGTTTGTTCAGGATACATTTTGTGAGTTGCCATCTCATTAAAGTGTTACAAAAGATAGTAATGATTCATTCAATTTTCCTCTTATCTGCAACATTAAGGGAAAACAAAGTTATAAATGCATTACTTAAAATTAAAAGTTAAAACGATTCTTAGTTTGTAATAATAGGACCCAAAAACATCTTTAAACTTTGTTTGTTTGATTTTTCTTTGTTCAAAATATAGATAACTTGGCAACAAGAAGAGAGGGGTTTCTGGTGTCCAGATAACACTTTAGAGTCAAAATTTCAGTCATTCTGGTAGTATCGTGTTCTATGAGAAAATCAAAAGATGATCTTGGCTGCTCTTCATTTAAATCGCTAGGCAGTTTAGGAAATTACTATGCTTTTATAATATGAATACTATCATACATGTACCTGCCAGCAAGACATACACAGCGTTCTGTGTCAGCACTGACACTTCTCAGCTGCCCCACCTAAAAGAAGAGTTTAAAAACCATTCACTTCATAGTCACTGGTTTATGTTAAGTCCAGGTTATGTATTTATTTCAAACAGGGTCAATTTAGATTAAAAGCTTATAATAATAATTCAGTACAAAACAACAATAACCCCCTTGGTACTTTTAACCTTACCATGCCTCTCCCTCCTCAAGAGCATCCTATACGAGCTTGCTTAACGCCTCATCACTCATGTGCCTCGATTTATGTTGTTTTACCATGTACTAACCAAAGTTTCAATTCTAATCCTCAGGCTTCTTGCTTTACCTCCATATCTCCCCTTGACCACAAAAACAATTGTGACATCACCCATTTTCCTTCTGAGTACATAATACTAGTCTAGTACCAATACTAGACTAGTAATAATAGTACTTCTTTATCATAGACTCCCCATCATAACCATGACTCTTTGGGCCACCTTAGTAAGCTGTATCATTACCTAACTTTACTTCACCTGACAGTGTGGTTTTACAACAATTTTCCTCTTAAGATGTTACATGAACTCCAAATATGGTTGCCACCCATGTTGGTCCCCTGATACCAACTTTCTCTTTTTTTTTTCAAAGTGCACATGTAGCACAAATTGTTCTTTTCTGAAGAGACCTAATAGGAGGATTTAAATGACTAATGAAATGCAAACAATATGTTGAGCAGTTGATAATCAATTATCATGCGCTTAGCTGTTTAAGAGTTAAATACTGAATATTTTTGTCATTACATACACCAAATGAAGCAGGGATTTGAAAAATCACC